CTTGTATTTCTTTTTCTGGGGGTTGTTTTAGGTAGGAATTGCCTACCATGAATTCATAGAGTAGAATACATTATAATAAACATTAGGTGGACACCTAAGTCTTTCAAAGGAATATATGTGTTTTTTTAACGTATAGCTGGTTACAACTGTAATTCTAGGCATAGACCACTACATTCATTAGCGACAGGAGTGTTTGTTTTTGTGTATAAAATACTGCATTATTTCATCAAACCCGGTAACCATGTGCAACTTACCAATAAAAATCATGAAAACCAAACATAGTATGAAGTTCAGTGACTTCTGCCGTATAATACAAATATCTGAATTAATATCATTGATATAATTTTTCTTCTAACCAGTGATCACATTGCACGTACCTAATGTCGCTCTTTCAGGTCATGGTCTTATTGTAATTCTTGGCGATGACATAAAGCAGTTATGACCCCATAGTTCTGACTTAAACTATTTTTTTCAAACTCGAAAACTGTCGGGATTCCAAGATGCTGACAGCTGCTTGATAGTGACAGGCCCGTTACGCAAAATTCCTTTGTTTGGGAGAGAAGGCTCTGAAGGAGGAAAAACAATGCTCTCGATCGACAGAAGTCTGATGGAAAAACTGCTACGGCACGTAGCTGTGGACGGCAGTGGGTCCTGCGAGGCAGCCGACAGCAGTTCCGTGCGGGATGAGCGTGTGGACGGGTTTTCGGGGGCAGTGCCGTGGGGTGCTGCTTGGAGAGGTCACGGTTTGTGAATTTCTGAATTTTGTTTTGTTGTCTGTAGAAAACTCTATGGTTGTACGTATGTATTCAGGTTTGTTAATTTTATTGTTTGTTAATTTTTCTTTTTTCTCCTGGGCAAGTTCGTGGGTATACTACATCCGGTTTCTCCGTGAGGGTTGATGGTTTTTCCTTGCGGTGGTCCAGAGAAGGGCACAGGCCACAAGCGGTCACTCGTACGGAAGTTCCCTGGAGGGCACACACGGCACACCCGCAGGGCCCTCGTCCGGGTTTTCTCAGTGGGTGCAACTTAAATAACGATCATTGGGAACTCTTTCTGGACCTTTGTTCAATAATGATAAAAGGCAGTTTGAAGGGGTTAAAGTGGGGGTGGGGGAATACATACACTAATTTTTTAAAAAGATTTAATTAATTTATTTATTTTTAGAGAGAGGGGAAGGGAGAGAGAAACAGAGGAAGAGAAACATTGATGTTCAAAAGATACATCAATTGGTTGCCTCTTGTATGCCCCCAACTAGGGACCTGGCCCACAACCCAGGCATGTGCCCTGACTGGGAATCGATCCAGCAACCCCTTGGTTCACAGGCCGGCACTCAGTCCACTGAGCCACACCAGCCAGGGCATTTTTTTATTTAAATGTTAAAAATTGGAAAATACAGAGTGGATAGGGCAAAGGTAAGTTTACAGTTGTAAGTACATGAAAACACCATTTATTTCTTATATTATTCGTGTATTATTATTTATTGATTATCATATTCTTTTCCATGAGAACAACTGTAAACCTACTTTTGCCACACCCCGTATATAAAGAGAGTAAAAAATCAGGATTTCCTAGCTTGCCCATGAATAGCCTCAAACTCACGCACTATTACTGACATGTGCGTACCCCTGTGAGTCTGCACACGTGCAGGTGTAACGCGTGCCCTGCCCGCCCTGCTCACGGGGCTGCCCCGAGTGCGCTGGAGTCAGAGCATTGCGGGGAGCGGAGGGAGCGCCGGTTTCTGCCGTGCGTGTTCTGAAGTTCCAGAGCTGGCCAGAGGGGGCAGCACCCCACGGGAGGAAGGCCGGGCTCGGTCGCCGGCGGCAGGGCGGCTGCACTCACTCCGGACGGAGCTGCTCCGGGGCTGCTTTTCTGAGCTTTCCTTTTGCTTTTCCGCTTGGTAGCCTCCTCCTGTGATTAGCGTGACTAAAAAGAAAAAAAGAAAAAGTAACCTCCAGGGTTGTTGTGTGTGTGTGTTTTTTAAAGAGCATGCTGGACGTTGAGCTGGTGTAATTTAAATTCCAGCTGTTACTTAAACGGATGCGTGGCCTGGGATAAGTCTGCGAGTCTGTTGCAGCGGTAAAACCGCGATAAGAATACCTGCTGATGGAATCACAGTGAGCGCTAGGGACACAGGATGTCATCCTCGTAAGACGGCACTGGGGATGTTTAACTGTTTGCTATCACTGGGCGTGTGTACATACGGAAAACATCAGGGCTTTTCTGGATTTTGGATTTGTGAGAGCTCAGGAACACAGAGTTGTCTGGGGTGGGGGTTTCTGTATGGGAAAAGCCACACACGTGCTTAACTTTTTTGGCCTGGAAGTGCTTAAGGGTGTTACCCTGCGGAGTGGGAGAAATCTCAAGGGCAAGTGGGCAGGTGGCGCCCGGTTTGAGGGGATCCGGGTGGGGCTGAGAGATGGCAGAAGTGGCCGGTGGTCTCCCGTCGTGTGTGTGGTGGCATCGCTCTTTGACTTGTGACCACAGTTCTTGTCTACAAGACCCGTCACTTCTGGGCCTTTGAATTCCAGCCGGGCTTTGAAAACTTTCATCAGAACCTGCCACGCCATTTCTAGTTTCTCCACACCAGGCTGGCCTACCTGGATGTCTTATTTTCCCCTTTCCTGGCTCCCTCTTGGTGTGGCAACAGCGTCTATTCCTTTACCTCTCTCTCTCTCTCTCTCTCTCTCTCTCTCTCTCTCTTTTGGCCCTGGCACTCTCAGCAAATCCCATGTGACCTGGGCACCTAGAGAGATAGCAAAGAATAGAAATTCATCTTGGGTTTTCCTCTGAAATCCCTTTCTCCTCTTGTGTTTCCAGTCCCTTCTAATCCTAATGCCTGTTATAGTAATAGTTTGTTAAAAATTCTAAAGTGGGCAAAAGCTCTTCCACACCGTGGCGTTGGCCTGCACAAGTCTCAGGTGTTTGTCCCCCAGGAGTGCGTGTGACTCGGTGAGAACCGAGGAACGCCGGGGCTTCCCCGAGGTTCTCCCGGGCATAGAGTTTGTGTCCGGGGCCCACTCTCCCACGCGTGTGACTGCGTGACGAACCCTTAAACCCACACATGTTTGTTGGAACTCATTCTGTGAGAGCTTTTACCACCAACGGTCGTCTGAAGAGTGGAATGGAGAGCACACACACACACACCCCACGTGTGTGTATGCATACAAACTGTCCAAACAGCTGGCCACTGTGAGGAGGCGGCCCGTACCCCGCAGGTGCTCGGGTGTTTTGTAAAGTCGTGTCACTTGCGAAGCTTTGTCCTCCGTACCTGCTTGTCGTTAGAAACCTGCCTGTCGGGAAGGGGGCCTCTGGGTATTGTTTGCCACAAACAAACAGCTCCCAGCACTTCTGCACTCCCCTTTGGCAGGAACATCGAGTCAGTAATCCAGGGATTAAGAGCCAGCGCTGTGATTGGGGGTTTGGTGAGTGGTAGCCAGACCCAAGAGCAAGAAAAATAAGTTGGGCAGAAATGTGTTTTTCCAGCAGACTGGGTGAGGGAGGATTAGGTCTCATTGTAAGGAGGCAATTTTTGCTTATTAAGGCACTGTGTTAAAGAGAATGTCTTTGGATATTTTCTTAATTTTTCCCTCATCTCTTCCAGTTAAACATGTATTTAATTAATACCTATTACAATCAGGTCCCTGTTCTGGATCTCCTTTATGCTCATGTTATTTATTTTAATTTTTAAATGAACGAGTAGAACTTGGTAGCACCTGTGGAAGGCATAGGAAGTTGTACAGTGAAAAGTAACTCTTCCTTCCCACCCCTGGCCCCAGGCACCACCTGCTCCCTCCAGCGCCCAGCCCCTAACCCCCCCACTCTATCCCCTTCCCCTCTTCTTACCCACTCCCCCAGAGGTCATCCAGGCTTGCTTAAGCATCTGTGCCTTTTCCTCCCTGCGCAGAGTTATTTAATTCTGCGGCAGAGTTATTTTGGAGGGCTTCCCAATGAACTCCACCTCCCTGTATTTAAGTCCTTATGTAATTCCCTCCCATATTGACTGAGCTTGGGCCTGGGCCGTGTGACTTGGCTTTGACCCACAGCACACTAGGAAATGTGATGTGGGGTCAGGCTCCCTAAGTGCTTGCCCTTTGGGGCCTGTCCTCTGGGCATGCACTCTGTGACACGCCCTGTCAGAACCCACAGGCCACCAGCTGTGAGGTCCCCAGCCTGCCAGTGGAAAGGCCCCATGCAAGAGGACTGAGGTCTTTGCTAGCAGCTTCCAGACCACAGCCGGCCTCGCCCGCCAGGCCTGGGACAGGAGAGCCGGTGAGGAGGGAGCCATCCGTGTCAGGATATGCTGTGTGGCACAGAGCAGGTTTCCCTACGGAGCCCTGTCCAAACTGAACAACTGTGCGCATTCGTGATGAGCCACTAAATTCGGTTTGTCGTGCAGCCGCAGATAACTGAAATACCACGCATCCTGTGCCTTGCGCTTTTTCACCGAGCGCTGTATTGGGTATCAGCCTATTTCAGTGTTTACAGAGTCGCCGCATTCTTTTTAAGAGCAGGACAGTATCCCACTGTGTGGCCGTGCGGTAATTTACTCACAGACATGTGTGCTGTTCCAAGTCCTTTGCTGTGTGCTTCCTTTCACATGCGAACACATGTATGTTTACTGGCTAAAGTTTTAGATGCAGAGCTGCTGGGTCAAAGCGTCTGTGGACTTGTAATTTCGACAGGCATCGGCGAGTTCCCTTCCAGGGAGCTGACCCTCCCGCGGGCTCCGAGAGGCGGGTCGGGGGCGCCGAGGTGCGTGGTGCGAACGGCGCTGCGGTGAGCTGGGAATGCCACCTGCCTCCCGTAACCGCGTTTCCGTATGTTGAGAAGCCCTCTGCCTTTTTCTTTCTCTGCATTGTACGCTCGTGTGCTGTGCTCTTCTGGGGACGTTCTGACACCAGTGGCACTGTTTTCCATTTTCTCAGGGCCAGACAAGCACGGGTATTTTAGAAGAACGTTAGCATTGAGGATAAAAAAAAAGTTATTTCTTTTCCTTGTAGGTTCTGGCCAAACTGTCTGTGCCCGCGCGCGCCTGCGACCCGGCCATGAAGCAGAGCTTTGCCTTCGACAACGCGGGCTACGACGGCGGCCTGGACGGCGCGAGCCCTTTGCAGACGGCCACCGGCACCATCAGCCTCTCGGGCCTGACCGGGCAGTCGAGTGCGGCGTCCGTCGAGGGCAGGATTGCCGGTTTGAAAGGCGTCGTGGGCGTCCAGGTTTCCCTGGACCACGGCAGCGCGGCGGTGCACTACGTGCCGTCGGTCATAAGCCTGCGGCAGGTGTGCTGTCACATCGAGGACATGGGCTTCGGGGCCAGCATCGCGGAGGGAAGGGCCGACTCCTGGCCTCTCAGGTCCTCGCCGGCCCCGGAGGCCGTGGTCAAGCTCCGGGTGGAGGGCATGACCTGCCAGTCCTGCGTCAGCTCCATAGAGGGCAAGATCGGGAAGCTGCAGGGGGTGGTGCGCGTCCGGGTGTCCCTGAGCAGCCAGGAGGCCGTCATCACGTACCAGCCTTACCTCATCGGGCCCCAGGACCTCAGGGACCACGTAAACGACCTTGGGTTCGACGCCGTCATCAAGAACAAAGTGGCCCCGGTCAGCCTGGGGCGCATTGATATCGGGCGGTTACAGGGCGCCAACCCAAAGACACCGACCCCTACTAACAACCCGCACGTCGGCAGCTCCCAGGCCTCGGAGCCCCCGGGGAGCCCGGTGGCCACCCTGCGGCTGCGAGTCGACGGCATGCGCTGTGGGTCCTGCGTCCGCAACATCGAGGAGAACATCGGCCGGCTCCCGGGGGTTCAGCACGTTCGAGTGTCCCTGGACAGCAGAACCGCGCAGGTCCAGTTCCGCCCTTCCCGCGTCACCCCAGGGGCGCTGCGGAAGGCCATCGAGGCGCTTCCACCCGGGAACTTTAAGGTTTCCCTGGCTGACGGAGCAGAAGGAAGCGGGGCGGACGACGGGTCTTCCGCGGGTCGCGCCCCCGCCCCCGCCCGGAGAAGCCCGGCGCCAGGGCCAGGCGCAGGCCGGACCCTGGGACTCGCAGTCGCGGGCATGCGCTGTGCATCCTGCGTCCAGTCCATCGAGGGCCGGCTCTCCCAGAGGGAAGGGGTGCAACGCGTATCCGTGTCCCTGGCGGAGGGGACCGCCACGATCCTCTACGACCCCTCGGTAACCAACCCCGAGGAGCTCCGCGCCGCCGTGGAAGACCTGGGCTTCCAGGCCTCCGCCGTTTCGGGTGCGTAGCTGCCGCGTGGGCCTGCGCTCGCTGCCTCCGCGGGGGCGGAGTTTGCAGCCCGCCCTCGGGTGCTGGGCTTCCCCCACGGACGCCCTCGCCGAGGCCCTTGGGCGTTTGTCTCCTGCTCCGAGCAGAACTCTGATTCGGGGGCGGGGGGTTCTTTAAGAGAGGGCGGCGGGGACTCCGGGCCCCTCTCTGACCGCGCCACTCCCCGTCCCTTTCCCTGAAGATGTCTCCGGTAAACTAGAAACTATAAAAATAACGTGGCCTTACTCTCTCCGCCCGCAGCCCATTCCTTTGGAAGTGGGAATTTAGAGGAGGGTTCGGTGATGATTTCCTTCGCCCCCCCCACCCCGCCCCCCGTTGATGGCGCTGAGAAGACGACTCTGGTGACCGTCTCCACAAAGCCAGGTGTCCGCGTACCTTGACGCCACCTCACTCGACAGGGTTTCCGGGGGTGTGGCCATCCCTGCCCCCCCGATCCTCTCACTGGCCCCTCGCTCGCCGATTTTCATGCATTTCCCTCCCACGGCAGCCCACCCAGCGCGGGACGCAGCGTCCTTTCCGCCGAGCGCCAGGACCACGAGTTGCGGGCCGCCGAGTGCGGGCCCCGCGGTGTCTCCCCGGAGCTCAGGCTGCGGTGCCGGGTTCCCAGGGCAGGACTTGGAGGTGCAGGTCCTGTTCTGGGGGCGCCCAGGAGCGGGCGGCAAGCTTCGGGCTCACGAGCAGCTCCTCTGGAGGGCGAGGGGGAGTGTGCAGCGGGGGGCGGGGCGGGGCGGGTGGGGGAGGTGACGGGGACGAAGCGGCCTGGGCAGGGGTCTGAAGGCCCCAGAGGCAGTGCGGTGTGCTGGGGGCTGGAGGGGCTGGAGGACGGTGGGGAATTCTGACCCCCCGCCCCACCCTGGTTCTGACGTCGTTTCTGTGGGTGCGGACTCGGAGTACTGTGAACCTTGCAGATATGCAGCGTGTTTGTCTGAGAATCCTAGGAACTCAGTTCAAAAGGTCCAGATGCCAGCCTCCAGGCATCCCTGCTCCGGGCCACGGGCTGACCTTCAGCCGTGGGGCCAGGGTGACGTGAATCCAGGGTCATGTGCAGCTGGACGACCAAACCAGCCCGACCACCCCGGACTGTCACTGACTCACGGGAACGGCCTGTGCTCGCCCGCACGCGGAGCACTCCGCAGCCCCTCCCTGAGCTCTGGGTTCCCTTCCGCTCTCCCTCCTTCGAGAAACCTCTGCCTCCTCTTAGGGGGGACACGGGCCCTGAGACCTGGGTCCCCCATCCTCCTGGGGGACGGGCTCTGACACCTGGGTCCCCCATCCTCCTGGGGACGGGCTCTGACACCTGGGTCCCTCACCTTCCCAGGGCAGCGAGCTTTGAGATGCGAGACCGCCATCTTCCAGGTGCCCGGCACCTGCAAATGCGGCTTTCAGAGTGGCAGGCGGCCGGACTTCCTTTCGGTTACAGCTTGAGTGACGGCTCAGAGTGGTGGGACAGTGCCGGGGCCACCTCACGGGGGGCCTGAGCATCACGCTGCAGGGAGACTTTCCCGGGGAGGCCAGGGGTGTCAGCGGTGGGTGTCAGCAGAGGGAGCACAGCTCCGATGCTGCTGCAGAGGACCCGTCGGGTGCCGTGTGGTCGGGGCAGCGAGGCCACATGGGGGGCGGGGTGAGGCACGGGGTGTGGGGGCTGCAGAGCAAGGACGGATCTGGAGGACACTCAGGTCACAGCCACCCAGCTTGGGGTCAGATTAGGTGTGTGGGGGGAGGGGGCAGGCTAGGGAGGAGAGGGAGAGCCTGGGAGCCCCTGCTGAGGTAGATGCTGGAACATGGCTGTGCTTACAGATTCCGATGTTTGGGGTGAGTGGGGCTCCCACCTTTGAATGGTGGGAGCCGAGGGAGGTGACTGAAGACCCAGGAAGAGTGTGAGGGGGGAAGGGGCCCGGGAGGAATGAGACAGCACTGTATGGGGAGGGCCACCTGCAGGAAGAGGATCTTGCAGACAAGGGACCAAGAAGAGGGTGGAGTCCTGGAGATAAGGCCAGAGGGTCAGGAAGCTAAGGGTTAGCTGGGAGGGGCTCCCCTCCTGCCTGGTGGTGAGGAGGTGCCGGCCTGCAGGGGCTGAGGCCTGGGGGGATGGAGGGACAGCTGAGAGAGAGGCTGAAGATAAGGAAGGAGCAAGGGGCATTTTGTGAGGATTGGCAGGGCGGGTGGTAATGTTTTTACCATTTCCATCCCAAGATACAGGCCCCGCAGGTCAGTGCGAATGCAGGCCGGACTAGGGTGGTTTCTTCAGCCTCCAGCCGGACCTTCGCGCTGGAGGGGAGAGGCCGGCTGGGCACTGGGGGGAGCTCATGGGAGAGCCCGCGGGCCGCAGTCAGGGCAGCTCACTGAACGTCCCACGTCCTTTTCCGACCACCGGGAGATGAGGTGTTTCTCCTGGGGCGGTTTGCTGAGTCTCACCCCTTTCCTGTCCTCCCAACACCCCCCCGCTTTTGAAGGGAGTGGGCAGAGCAGGGGGCCTTCCACGGCCCTTCTTCGTCTTTGTGCCAGGTTTCAGGAGGGAGGTGTTTCTTCCTTCTCTTTCTGTGTTTTTTGTCTGTGTGTCTGTTTTTTAAATAAAAATCAATAAGAAAAACACAATAGAGCAGGAAATCCTGCACTCAAAGGCGAGACATCATCTGCTCTATTTGCATGAGGTCTGACATCTTTCAACAGTGGGATCAGGTTATTGGCAGTAACAGGAAATTTGCATTGAACTACATAATAGGTTTGACTAAACCTAAAAGAAAAAGCAGTGGTTTTTCTTGGCCAGAGTTATGAGAGTTCATGTTCATCCTAAGAGGTATTTAGGGTGTCAGATTTACCAAATAAAAATGTGGGACACCTAGCTATCTTTGAATTTCAGATAACGACAAATAATTTTTTATTATAAGCATGTTCCAGAAACTGCATGGGACACACTTATACTGAAACACTATTCGTTGTTTATGTGAAATTCCACTTTAGCTGGACATGCTGTACTGTACCTGTCCGTCTTAGTTTCGGATAAACTGGACGTGTGCTGGTGACTGCCCTCGATGGCCACTTAATGTTAAAAAGGCATCGTTTGTATGTGATGGTTCATTCTGGACTGAGCAGGAAGTCCTGCGGGACAGCCTTCAAACCACGCGTTTTGTTGTTTCTCCTTTGAAGTAGCTCCCAGCGCACGCGTGGGAATCTGTGACGGAGATGAGAGAGGACGTGGTGGGTCGGCCCCCGAAGGTCCCAGGGCAGCCCGGCGGAGGGCTTTAACCCGGGGAACTGCCGTGGTTTGCTGTGTCTGATGCGCTCCCCTGTGGAATACACACCCAAGTTTTTGGCTTCAACTTGTCAGGGAAAAAACCCTTCGTTTTAATTTTGTAACTCAGTTTTTTATTTATATTATAGAACAAAACTGATGACCGTGTCCCAGGGTATTATTTTGTATACAGATATTGTCATTGCTTTCTAGAGTTACACTTGAATGCATAAGCATAGAGAATTAAAAACATGTATATAGATACAGAATTAGTACCACCCGTGTATAATACACATCCTTATTTTTTCCTCAAAAATTTGGGCATAAAAGTGCACATTGTACACTGCAAGATACGGTATTTACAGAGATTCTAAAGAGCTGAAAACCAAACAATGGAAAGGAAACCCAACCCAAGAGATTAACAGCAGCAGAAGCCAACCCCCACCAGGGGGAGTCTGAGGAAGGGGCGTTCCAAGAGCCCAGGACAAGGTCTCCTGGTGACAGCTGGTGACACTGCCACTACTCAGGGAAAGGCTGTGACCAGGAGGTGGGGTCCCAGCGGACAGATGGGTAACGCTCATTTTTCCTCCTTTCTCTACTATCATTTCCCACCAGTTTTAAAAATGTTTTTTCTTTTATTGATTCCAGAGATGGGGAAGGGAGGGAGAAAGAGAGGGAGACCAACATCGACTGGGTGCCTCTTGTGCGCTGGGGACCGACCTGGGGACCGAACCCACAACCCGGGCTTGTGCCTTGGCCAGGGATCGAACCCACGACCTCTGGGTTTGTGGGCAACGCCCAACCCACTGAGCCACACTGGCCAGGGCTTCATTTCCCACTTTTTACCTCCCATGTGCCAAGTTTAGTCAGAAACCAGTTGATAGGGCGCCTGGGAAAAGTGGTTTGCGGAGACAGGACCCTTGACCGTGGAGCAGAGAGAGAGGGGAGGGAAGGGTGTGAGAGCGATAGGCAAGCACCAGGCTTCGAGTCTCCGCCAGCTTACTGTGTTACCAGGCTGAAGGGGTCTGTTCGCCCGTGCGCACCAAAGCCCCATAAGACACGAACAGGAGTTCGCGGCCAAGAAAGGAAGGATGGATTCAGGGGATGGCGCGGTGCCCGGAGTCACAGGTAGCTCGTGCTCACAGACCTGGCTCCCCGATGGCTTCCAGGGGACGGATTATATGGAGAAAACTTGTTAATCGTGGTGACAAAGGGAGCCGGGGTCGTCTCTGCTGACTGGTGGGTGCCAGGGTCGGGGTAGTTGATCATCACACTTGGTGTTGACATCAGCCATGGAGGTGATCTGTCCAACTTCGCAAGGATTCGTTCTGCGGATTCTTCCGCTTGCCTGGGTCGGAAGCTAAAACACAGCTGAGGCCACCACACTGTCTTCCGTTGGGTTGGAAACTCTGTCCCTGTGGTCAGCAGGGCAGGACCTTGTCCTGAGACTCCCACGGGCAGACCAGAGCCTGGTCGTCCCGAAGGCGTCGTGGTTAAGCAAGGGGGAGGGAGGTGGGCGAGTCAGGGCGATGGGTGAGGAAGATTCCAGTCGAAGGAAAAAAAACTCAAAATAAGAGGCCAGATGAACGAAAATAAGGTTTCTGCGCGGCTACAACTGGACAGCTGAAAATGCATGTAGCCCTGGCTTCTGTCTAGAAAGCAGCTCTGCATCTGTTCGCTGATTTTTGTGGGAACTATTTTTTTGAATGAACGGCTGAGTGGGTGGACAGGTGGATGGATGTGTCGCCGAAGTGCGAGCAAAAGCCATCTGTCCTGTGTCACGCGGGCCTCTCCCTGCTGTGCGTGTGTGATGCCACCCTCGGCACTGCACGTGCGAGGGTCTTCCCGGCCCGGCGCAGTGCTGGCTGCCGTGACGTGCTCAGCCCTCCCGTCTGTGTTCTCAGGGGGGTCTCAGGTCCCAGAGACGAGGAGGGGCTACTGGAGGTGAAGTGCGCTCGGGGTTTGGGAGGAAATCCAGCGCTGGGCTGTGGGGCTCCCCCAGACGTGCTGGCGGAGGCGGTGCTGGAGCGGGGCTTGGCTGGGGTCTCAGAACGGCTGGGGTTTCGTCGGGCACCCTGGGCAGAGGAGGCGGCGCAGGCCCCCGGGCAGGCGTGCCCCAGGTGCCGCCGTCCACTGTCTCCAGGATCCCGGAAGAGCCCCTGCTCCCTGGGTTTCAGCCTTGCGGTGTGGTCCCTGCCAGCATTCACAGAGACGTGTTGTTCTGCTGATGCTCCCGAACCCGCCCAGCTCGCCTGCTAACATCTCCCCCTGCGGGGGCCACAGGCTCCCTGTACCACCCATGACCTTTCTGACCCTTTCGGATTCCTCGGATCAGGCGAGTTCTCACCCGGGGTCTTGCTCGCTGTCCTCCCTGTCTGGAGCTCTCCTCTCCGAAAATCCACGCGGTTCACTTCAGCGCATAGCGCCTGTAGTTTGTATTTAGAAATATGTAGGTTTGTATCGTACCTAGTGTTGTGATCTCTTTTTGCTGCAATTTACCGTAATCATTCTTTCACGTTCCAGTCTTACGTCTGCAGCGCCACACGCTCTGTGGCCACACAGCACCCCGTCACACGGAGGTACCCCAACTTAGTTCCCTCTTACATCGCGTCCACCTGCTCTGTGTGCTGGTGATTGTAAATAATTCTGACAGGCATCGTGCAGGCTAAACCTTTGTGCAGGTACTTAATTATTAAATATCTGAAAGTGTAAATGATGGGTCACAGGGTATAAACATTACTTAATTCCGTCACAAATATTTACTGTGCCCCTACTGAGTACCAGGCATTGTTTGAGGTATTGTTTTTGATAATACTCATTACCAAGGAGACTTCCCCAGAAAGCCTAATCAATTTACATGGCCCACCATAATGTTGGCGTAGATTAATAAAGGTCCCAGGAGCATGAGCTTGTTTGGGTCTTTGTTAATTTGTTTTAACTTTCTTTCGCAATCTTCCGAAGCCCGGAACTTAACTGAGTCCTACCTCAGTGTTGAAGAATAGCAATTTGTAAATTACAGGCTAGCGAAGGTGAGATTCTCTGGTAGCACGGATATCACTGGAATTGTTGACTGTCCTACTTGGGTAGAAAGGCAGGCGAATCCAGGAAACGGGTGATGGACTGGGGAAACCGCAGGGGCGGGGGGTGGACAGATGTAGGAGGGTGGATGGGTATGGGAGGCGGAGTGTTAAGAGGCGGCCATAGAATAGATTTTGTGAGTCTGAGTTTCCAGGCGTGGAGTCATTCTGAACCATGATGAAGTCCAGGAGGGCGACCCGTGCCCCTGAGTGAGGGGACAGTCTCTGCGTCAACACGGTCGGGACCCTGGAAGGCCAGGCTCCCAGCGGGGCAGCGGGGCGGGGGGGTCTTCCACAAACGGACTGAAAGTTTCGACCAGCCGGACTCTTACTTAACGTGAGCAGAAGCAGCTGTAGCACATTTCAGCAAATGAGCAGAACACCCCGAGATGTGAGATTTACTCAGAAGGGAGACTTACAAGTCACTGTCTGTTGTCAATATGGGCTAATTCTAACTTGTGTCTTCTGCCGCTGTGGGTTCACCAGCGGGGTTTCATCATTAGAGGGCGTGATTGTCTTTTCTGCATCCTCTCGTAGGTAGTTTGTGTCACCGAAACAGTGTGACCCCCTGGAGTGCCGCAGACACTCTGCGTCCTTTCTGCTTGAGAGAGCTGCCCACACCGCTGTACACATGGGTGAAAGGCAGGGTCGTGGCCCCCAGAATGCCCGCACCCTCATCCTCCGAATTCAGGGGGGGGAAGGATTCCCTCTTCTGTGTGTGGAGCCGGATCAGTAGGGTACCCCGGTGGGAAGAAATTACCCCCGACTGCCACCTCACACACAGAAGTTAATTTGAAGAATATCATAGGCCTGAATGTGGAAGTTTATTAAAATAATAAAGCTTTTAGCTCTGGCCGGGGGCTCAGTTGGTTGGAGCATCGTCCCATACACCAAAAGGTTGTGGTTCAATTCCAGGTCAGGGCACATACCTGGGTTGTGTGTGTGATCCCCGGTCAGGGCACGTATGGGAGGCAACCCATCAATATTTCTCTCTCTCCGCGCCCCCTTCCTCTCTAAAATCAGTAAACATATCCTTAGGTGAGGATTAAGAAATAATAGTTAAAAATAGTAAAGCTTTGAGAAGAACATATCACGAATATTTTCACAGTGTTGATGTAGACAAATACATTGAAATAGCACAGTGCGCCGATCGCGGACATTGTTTAGTTGATTGCCGAGCTGGGCCCGTTAAATCGAGGACTTCTTTTATCAGAAGAGACCTCGTTAGGTGGGAGGGAAACCCGAACCACAGACCCGGAGCGATAATGTGCCGTTCAACCCTCCTCCTGGCAGAGGAGTCGTGTCCGGAATACATGCAGGCCTCCTGCCGACAAGGAGAAAAAGGCACACACCGCAGTAAAGGTGTTTGGGGTCGTCTTGATTGTCCTGGGGAGAGATGGGGAGAGAGCGAACCTCTGCTGGTTAGAAGGTGACCGCAGTGAAACGGACGGGTCCTGGAGCTAAACCTGGCTCAAAGCTAGCCAGCTTCACTGCTTACGCCCCGAGGGGTTTGGGTGAAATTATTTAAAATGGGAATGGTAGCCGTCTTTACCACATAGCTATTTGAACACTCAAGGGGGTCACGCGTGTGCTTTGCAGAGTGGTGGGTGAGTTCTCCTCAGTGTTGTCCTCATGTAATTGGAGCATCCACCTGGCCGGAACCCTCCGTGCTTGAAGTGTCGGCACACGCCGCGTGTCTGTGACCGTGCGCCTCTGTCCCTGGTGCTGGGGAGAGAGAGACGGTGATGGGAAGCGCCTTCAGCTGCGCACTGCCAGGCCTGCACCGGCTGCGGTGAAGAAAACCCCAACTGTGTCGTTCTGCTCTGAACGGTTTCTGACCTTCCATTCCAGGCAACGGCTCCAGCAGCCCTGCTGGAGAGCTCAGGGCGGCGGACGCCCCGGCGCAGACGGCAGCTGGCACGCCTGTGTCCGAACAGGAGGTGGCTCTTCCCGCCGGGACGGCCCCCCCAGCGCACAGCCCTGGCCTCAAGGCGGAGCCCCTGCCGCAAGCCTCCGCCCCAGCGGCTCCGCAGAAGTGCTTCCTGCAGATCACAGGCATGACCTGCGCGTCCTGTGTGTCCACCATAGAGCGGAGCCTGCAGAAGGAAGCTGGTGAGAGGCCCGCGCCCGCGTTTTCCCCCGGGGGCGCAGCGGCTGGCGGTGCAGCGCTGTGCTGCGGGCGCTCCCTGCCTGGTCTCCACGGACCGCGCGTATCAGGAGCCCCCAGGGCCCGGTGGCACGGGCCTCGTGTCACACACAGGATACGCGTCTGCCTGATGTCCGGGGCTGCTGGCATCTGTTCTTTGAGGGGCGTTCGGTTTGCCTGGGATAAAAGGTGTCTCCAGGTTGGCCTCGGGGAAGCCTGGGTGCAGCCCACGTCCAGGGTGCAGCCCACGTCCAGGGTACAGCCCAGGGTGGAGCCCCCGGCAGGTCCCGTGGGTGGGCAGTCTCCTCAGGGTGCTCGTCCTCGTGGCGTCTGTACCTTTCTCCTCCGACCCTGCCGCCCTCTCGCCGTCGAGTGAATGCACAGCCTGTGCTTTGCGAAGTTCCGGTTTCAGATGTTCTGTCTTCTCGTCTCGGGAAACTGCAGCGTGCCTGGGCCTGGCGAAGTCTCCTGTCCCAAACCGCATTTCCAGTGCTCTCTTAAACCTGCACGTGCAGCAAAAAATCCCGTCTCGACTTTTTGTTCGGAAAGTATTTTAACCACGACCCTCCTCTGCCACCATAGTTAGGGAACTTTTTCCTCGCGCCTGGGGACTTCAGGCGTCCCTCCAGCCTGCCTCCCTGGCTCCAGGAGCCAGCCCTGGGCTAGGATGGCACTTCTCCCGCCTCTCTTCCGCCTCCCGGGGCCTTAGAATGACCACGCTCACGGTGAGGCGTTCTGGGGCTCCCCTTTGTCACCCACGGACTGGCCGCCCGGAAAAGCGACCCGTCCCTCAGTGCCTGGGTGCTGTCCCTGACCCGCATCCCTCGTTTTCGTCCCGTGTGGCGTTTTTCTAGAGCACATCATGGCTTTCATCCATTTGAATGAACCGTGCGCCGCCCCCCCCAACCCCTTAAACTAACACAAAGGTGTTGACCAGAGAGTCAGTGGGGTTTCTTTTTCACTTCTGAATGTGATCAAACACAGGAAAACAGGGCGGAAGACCATGTTGCAAGTTATTTTTCTTTATCTGAAAGTGACTGGAGAGAAAGTATTGTACAGGGTCCGGCACAAGTAACGCCCTTCCCCCCCCCTTTTTTTTTTTGTTACAAAATCTTTTATTACAAAGTCATAGGCATGTGATTCTGTAACAGAACAACATCACACTCAAGCACACCATCGGACAGCTTAGGTGACATGTTCAAATTAAACCTATAAATCATTACACATGTATTATTACCCTACCGACCACACTCAAAGCAGGCGTTAACTTCCGCTGGGCCCTGTATACCTGTTACATAGCAGCGGTTGCTAGCCGCAGGCTGGGCCCCTTGCTTTGAGGTGCATGCGCCCACCCATGTCTTCTAGAGTCTGACCCAAAGGGGGTCCCCGGGCCAGCAGTGCCTGCATTGCCTGGGAGCTGGGCTGACCGGCAGAACCTCGGACACGCCCCCAGACCGCTGAACCAGTCTGCTGTTCAATAAGGCCCCTGCGTGGTTCGTGTGCCCACTAAAGCATGAGAAGCATTGTTCTAGAACACGGTTTACACGCGTGGCCGTACATTAGACTCGCCTTCGGAGCTTCAGAGAAAGATACCTGGTACCCCCTGAACACTCTGACTCATCGGGTCTGGGCCGGGCCAGCGCGGTGGTGGTTCAGAGCCCCCTCAGGCGACCCTCATGTGCAGCCGAGTTTGAGAGCCACTGTTCCAAAGACCTTGGGGCAGATGTGGGGTTTTTGCTGGGCTGCGTTGACCACCTGGGGACCTCACTGGAGGGTCACAGCTGTAGCTTGGTGGTTTCAGGTATTCTCTCCGTGTTGGTGGCCTTGATGGCCGGAAAGGCAGAGGTCAAGTACGACCCGGAGGTCATCCAGCCCCTGGAGATAGCTGGGCTCATCGAGGACTTGGGCTTTGAGGCGGCCGTGCTGGAGGACTACAAAGGCTCCGACGGCGACATTGAGCTCCTGGTGAGTGCGTCCCCCGGCCGGGGGCTGGGGCTGGGGCTGGGGCTGGGGCCGTGGGCTGCGCCCCATCTGCGGCCCCCCTCTGCATCTGTCCTGTGCGCTGCTGCCGTTGGGCGTTTTTGTTTGCTGGTGAGGCCCACGAGGGCCGGTTCGTTTTGCAAAGGGATGTCCGTCCTGTCAGAGGGTCACAGGGGTGAGCCCCACTGGGCACGTTCAGGTACGAGGAGGTGGAGGTGGCGGGGGCATCGGAGGAAGATGAGCCTTGTTCGACTGTCCTGAGCTGGTGGTTCGAGGGAGCAGGGTGTGAGCACGCCCCACAAAGCCTGCGTGGAGGGAAGCTGGAGTGTTGGTCGGTGGTGTCTCCAGGCGGGCGGCGGTGCGCCAGCAGGTCGGCCAGCTCGGATGGGGAGGGCTTGTACGTGGGCAGGGGGCATCTGGGAGGGGCCGCAGCTGCTCTACGGCGCGCAGTCTGTGGTGAGCACCAAGGGTAGCCGCTGCTCCCTGTGCGGGCGGGGTGGCAGGGGTGGGGGCAGCGCGGGGCGGCCTGTCTGTCCCTTGTCACCAGCTGCACGTGAACGAATCGCTGAAAACAGCAGGCACGTCTAGTATTTAGAATGTGCTGTGTTTACAAGCACTTAGGTCTACAAAGCTTGTTTTGCGTAAATAAAGCAGACGCAGGGGAGAAACCCACAGAAATTGAGGAATGTTGTTTTACTGAGGTGAGGGGTCTTTTACTTCCTTCCTGTGTCTGTCGCTGCCGTGGTAAGTGCGTGTTTGAGGAGAAAGAACCTCGGACTCGGGTGGCACTTGGACCTGCCGACAGGCAGTGTCTCCGGGGAACCAAGCTCCGCTGTGGGTGGGCCTCCCATGTGTCCCTCTGCAGTCGGCCGCCACTCAGACCCTGCCGGGGGGATCTGAATCGAGGATGTTGTTGGCAGAGGTGAAACTGGAGCACTGTTGTTTGTTTGTTTGTTTGTTTTTGCTGCATTTTTTTCTTTTTTAATTAAGCAGTGTCAGTAGTTGCATTATCGTGTGCTCAGACGCTTGATGTCTGTATTTAATGGTATTCTGGGAAGCATTGGCTGCGGACGCTTGGAAGAGTGGGGTGTCTGGTTGGCTGCCCCACTTTACAGGGGTGGAATGTCCCACGGCTGTTTCCCGGGTCACACAGCGTGGTGTGACAGACTGGCGCCACTCCCCCGGGGCTTGACCTCGGGCTCTCGCGCTGCAGGGGCGTGTCCTCGCCTGCTCCATGACGGTCGCCTGAGGATGCTCTCGGCAGCAGTCTGGGAGTGCAGACCCGGGGCCCAGCTCTGCCGCTCCCTGGCGTGTGATTTGGACAAGCCCCCAAACCTCTCGGGGCTGCGGGTACTGAGGCCTGCTCTGCAGGGTTGGTGTGAGCGGGATGGTGCCTGGCAAGCTGCAAGCGTGTAAAGCACGGTACCTGTCATCACCATACAAGTAAAAGGAGAGCGTACAGGCACCGCTGAAATAGTTGCAGACCTCGTAAACTTCTGCCGCGGGCCCCTGCCGGCCTGTGTCTGGGGTCCCGCGCCAGGGCGCACGCACTCCGATCACAGGTGAGCTCGCCCCTCCTTTCCCCCAGTTCCACACTGGACTCTCTCCTCTCTTCTAGTACTTGATGCTGGGTCCCTGGTGCAGATTCCCAGGGGCAGCTCTAGCCTCGTCCTGGTGCTCAGGACCCTCCCAACTGCCCACCGGGTGCTGGCTTAGCAGCCCTGTCCGGTCGGGTGCCCGGGAGTCTTCACGGGCCCCCAGCCAGAGGGGCGCGCTCCTGCACCTTGCTGCGGTTGGCGGTTGGCGGTTGCCTGGACACGCCACGCCTCTCGTCTTCCCCTGTGCTGCTCCTTACTCTCGCCCGGAAGCACCCTGTCCGCGCTCTGAGACCTCTGCAAATCCCGTCAGCTCGATCGCTCAGTTTCTAAATGCTCCCCTCTGGTCGTGAGGAGCTGCTGACCCATTTGCCCTTGGAGTGAGCAGAGCCCCGCAGCAGTGGGGCCTCGGCCGCAGCCGCAGCCAGGAGGCCAGCAACACCGGAGACCGCAGAGGGTGTTTCGAGAGCCCAGGGGGTGTGGAGAGCTGTGCATCCTGAGCCTTTCGAGGCGGGGAGGGGGCACGCATTGTTATTCTGGAGCTGCTGGAGAGGCGACGGAGACGGAGTGTGGGTGGGTGGCTGCAAGAGCCAACGTCAGGCCTGCGTCGCTGCCGTCTGCTTAGTCAAGTGGCTGCGTCCTGTGCACCGGAGCTGGGGGGCACCCACAGCTTATCTGCTTGAAGCCCCTGGGGGGAGGTTCGGGTTTGGAGGTGGGAGTGCGGGGCCTCGGGGGCCGCTGTGGAAGGAGGACGGGCTCGCAGGCTGTGGCGGCCCGTGCACCCCTGGATCCCGGGTCAGCGGGGTTCCCGTCCTCCTGTGCTGCAGGTCACCGGCATGACCTGCGCTTCCTGCGTTCACAACATAGAGTCCAGACTCAGGAGGACGAAGGGCGTCACCCACGCCTCCGTGGCCCTCGCCACCAGCAAGGCCCACGTGAAGTTCGACCCTGAAATTACCGGTCCGCGGGACATCGTCAGAATTATCGAGGTCAGTCATTTGGCAAATTGTACCCACCTTTAAAAAAAAAGTCACCTAAAATCCCTCGACTTTTCCAGTGGAAGTGAGGGGAATCGTTTAAAATAAACTGAAGTGAAGTGAATAGCAGATACTCTAAGGCGGAGATTCGGAGGATGGGTAAGAAAACATCGGGGAAAAGAGACATCGTCGTTTTAGCTGCAGGTAGTCCTGGGAGACGTCGGTATCACCCCGACACCTGACACAGCACAGGGGTCAGGTTGCCTGCCTGTACTTTTTGGGTGTGACTCGTGTCGGTAGCAGGTCGCCACAGGGCAAAGAAAAGTTGTTGAATCGTCCTGCATGTTGCCGCCTTGCTGGGCCTGCTTCGTGATGGGGCAGCCAGCTGGGTCATTTCTCCCCTGGGGGATCGGCGGGGAGAGCTCGCATGTGCTCCTGCCAGTCCGTTCCCACCCGGTCTGTGCACAGACGCACCGTTTCCTTGTTAAGGTCTGTGTGACACCACACCATGAGTGGGAGAGCACGCATGGGTGTTCTGAATGGGCTGGGACAGTCACAACCAAACAAGATTACCTCTCGGCGACTAACAGAGCAAATGAAGTTGAATGTACTTATGAAGTAGAGCATCTAGTAGCAGGTTTAGTCTTTCATGTTCTCTTTGTCGTGTGTGTGTGTGTGTGTGTGTGTGTGCGCGCGCGCGAGCACACTGCATGCATGAGAGAGACGTCTGTTGCACGGCCCAGCAGAGCTTTTTGGGGGTGCAGATAGCACCGCCACTCCGCACTGCCGGCCGGCACCTCGCACTCAGAGGCAGACGGCCAGCTTCGGTATCAGGCGAGGAGAGGTCCCGAGCGGGGTTGAGTGCTTTGCTCACGGATGCGCAGCTAAAGGTTGCCGGGTTGGCTTTCCAACCCAGCTCTTCCCTTGCCACGCTCGGCGGCCTTTCTGCCTCTGCCGCCCGCAGGTCTGTGCCCTGGCGCTGGTGAGGCTCAGCCGCCAGACCGCTGCACGGAGGAGTGGGCGGAGTCAGGGGCACCCTGCAGGGGGCCCGGTGCCCTTCCCACGCACGGGGTCCGTGCTGGCCTGTGCTGAGCCCGCGGAGTGTGGCGCGGCCCCTCTGCCCTCCCCGGAGGAGCACTGCCAGTGCCTGGCCTCCGTTCTCGTGATTCTGGGGCATCTTTTCCTCATATAACTAGGCCGGCATTAGTCGTAAAAGGGTTTGTCTTGAGACCGTCTTTCTCCCACCATAACTGTAATTTTTGCATAAAATCCCAACGCCAGAGTTTCAAGGCCCCTCTCCATGTTGTGCTGGCTGACTGGACACTTGCTGGCAGCTGTCTCTGTGCCCATCCGTAAAGGATATGAGTGCACACAGTGATCAGATCCCATGAGGCAGAGAGGGCGCCAGAGAGAGGCGGCGGAGGAAATGCTTGCGTGAACCCCGGGAAACGCCACCAGCTCGAGGCACGGTCTCCCTCGGGTCCCCGTGGGAGCCGTGGCGGGCTGGAGGCCAGCGCCCTGGGTCTGGGTCCTCTGATGAGGCTGTGCCCCCGGGCGGGGGGCTGCGCCTCGCTGCCCCTCAGTTTCCTCACGCCCAGTGAAAGCAGCTGCCCACGCTGTGTCTGGGAGCCCGTGACTCAAACATTCTGAGCTTGCAGCTCAACACTGGTCAGCTTTGGGGCGCGCTGCCGTCACCTCCCGGAACCTGCTGCCTGTGTTGACCGGGGTGGGGGGGACACGAGTTGCCGTTGGAAGCCCCCTCCTCGCGGGTGATGCAGCCTCTCCGGGTAGACGGCGCCGACCCTCCGGGGGGTCTGAGTGAAGAGCGGTGGGAGGAAAGCCAGGGCACTCCTCCGAGGCAGTGTAGGTCAACGTTCTGACGTCAAAGGATGTACAGCCCCCTCTGCCACTGCGCACTTTAACCAAGCGCCTCCTCCCTGTTCCCCACCCCTCTCTCTCCAACCACAAGGGACTCGGCTACGGCGCCTCGCTGGCCCAGAGGAGCCCCGGCGCCCGGCACCTGGACCACAGGACGGAAATAAAGCAGTAGGTAGAACAGAGGGGGTCGGCCGATGCTCCTGTCTCCTTCTCCCTGGGCCTGCCCCTGCCCCATCCGTGCTTACCGGGGCCCCTGCTGCTCTGGCGCCCCACGGTGCCGCCCACTCGGGTTGGCCGCCTTCACCCTGGTGACCTTAACCCTCCGGTGCCGCCCACGAGGCCGCTGTGGCGGGAATGCTCTGTGTCCGCACCGCCCAGTGCGGCGGCCACTAGCTGCTGAGGGCTTGAAATGCAGCCAGTGTGACTGAGGGACCGAGTTTTTAACTGCATTTCATTTCATTCGATTGTAGTGTCAACAGCCACCTATGGCCGGTGGCTACCGGACGGGACAGCCCTTAAGCGGGAAGGAAGGGAGCGTGCACTTTTTCCTTGTACGGTGTTTTAAGACTCTGTCTGAGTGGGCTCTAGACTGGGGCCCGAGGGCGAGAGCCGTGGCCAAGAGGAGAGAAAAGGGCCGGGAGGCAGGAGGCCCAAGTGTGTTCATTGTGTTCAGGTGTCCACACGGCCGTGCAGTGAGAGTGCAGCCGCCGTTGTACGCGGCGCTGGGCCAGGGGCAGGGGATGAAGAGAGCGTCCCTGCCTCTGCGGTGCCCGCACCCCGCTGGACAGGAGGGCGAGCACTGGCTCAGGGGAGGGCTGGGCGGCCGGCCAGCAGAGGACGCGCGACCTGCTTCTCGGAGCGCGAGTGGAAGTGTGTCCCGGGCCGAGGGGTGGGGGCGTGGGGTGGGAGCGAGGGTCTTCCGGGGGCCCAGGGGCAGGGCGGCTCCGGGGACTCCTCGGTGGCGCGCCTGCGGCGTAGGAGGGACTGGCAGGAGCGGCGAATGAGAGGCTGGTGAGGGGCTCCTCCTTGGGACCTTGGGTGGCCGCCGGAGGGCGTGGGACCCGAATCTCGCAGGCAGTGGTGTTCAGGCCGAGGTTAAGGTGCGTCACTTTCCCCGGCCACGTGGGTGGCGTGCCGTGGCTGCCGGAGCCAGTGCGAGGCCACAGCTGTCACGTGACGGCCACCCCCTGCCCCCTCCTGTGCACCTCTGGTGTCCCACGGGACAGCTTCCCTGCTCTTTCTGACTCCATTAGAAGTGTAGCCTAAAAAGCAAGCACACGACTAAGTTACTACTAATAAAAGGTTGCTTTTATTTATCTCCTTTTTCGGGGGGGGGGGCTTGTTTAAGATTACATCTCGAAAACAGATCTCGCCACTCCTGTAGGCTGGAGGTGACACGTCAGCCACAGGCAGGCGTGGGCTGGGTCTGGACATCTCAGGAATGTCCTTGCCAGGAAGCGTGGACCTTCAGAGGCTCCCGTGGGTGCCCCAAGTCAGGGAGAGAGACTGCCTTGCGTTGTAGCCCTCGGCGGCCCGTCCCACACACGTGACAGGGGCACGTCTTAAGCCAAGCCCTCAGGAGGGCCCGGCCGTAACCCCAGCAGCAGGCGGCACTGTAACCTGTCGGTGTGGCCCGTGGCTTCCAGGTGGAGGAATTCTTTCCTGTGCAGCCTGCTGTTTGGCGTCCCTGTGATGGGCTTGATGGTCTACATGCTGGTGACCAGCAGGGAGCCCCGCAAGTCCATGGTCCTGCACCACAACATCATCCCGGGACTGTCCGTCCTGAACCTCGTCTTCTTCATCCTGTGCACCTTTGTCCAGGTGCGTGTCGGAAAGGGGCCCCACCTCCACCCTGCGTGCCCGAGCGTGGCCAGCGCGTTGTCGCCGCTTTCCTCACCCGCCCCAGCCGGCTGCGGCCTTTTTCCGTCCTGTGACCAGCAGCCGGGTGACCTCCAACTCAGGGGACGGGAGAGACCTGTGGGTTGCAGGTGGTTGACGCCGCCCTGGCACGGCAGCCACCATGCTGCAAGGGCTGGTGGCCAGGCTTGCTTGTTGTTTCCCTGAACTTGCCTTTGTTGCTAGGAGCGGCGGCTGGATCGCATGGAGCTCATACTTGTCTTTAACATCTTATCCTGAGTGGCAAAGGTGTGCTCCTGAGGAAATAATAATTTAAAAGAGACAGGCCTCATGGGACTTTGGGTCTGAGGGCAGCATTAAGGAACTAACCACATTTCTGTTGGGAAGTGTGGCCTCCGTATATTTTGGAATAAAAAATAAAACTCCTGAGTTAATAATAATGAAAAGTGTACGGCTATCTAGGAGCAAGTCTTTGTAGGCAAGATTTTTTTTTTCTCTATGTTTTTAAAAATTTCGTTTACTTATTTTTAGAGAGGGGAAGGGAAGGAGAAAGAGAGGGTGAGAAACATCAATATGTGGCTGCCTCTTGTGCACCCCCAGCTGTGCACCTGGCCCGCAACCCAGGCCTGTGCCCTGACTGGGGATTGAACCAGCAACCCGTTGGTTCATAGGCCAACATTCAATCCACTGAGCCACACCAGCCAGGACCGCATTTTCTCTTTAATTTGTAATGTAATGCATGTTGGTGGTAAACAATCCGAGCCACGCTGAAGTAGCAATAAGAAAGAGGGAGCTACTCTTCAGCTGCTCGCGCCCCCATTCCTGTGGCCACCAGGAGCCCGAGTCAGGAAATACAGTTCAGAAACGCTGATCACAGGGGTATAAAATACCGTCAAAACCCCGGGTGAGCCCAGGGTGCTCGCCAGCCCCGGGGCCTCCGGGCGTCCGCCGGCTCCCCGAACCGCGGGCCCTGCCCGCCCCAGCTCACCGCCGCCCTCCGCCTTGCAGTTCCTCGGCGGCTGGTACTTCTACGTGCAGGCCTACAGGTCGCTGAGGCACGGGGCGGCCAACATGGACGTGCTCGTCGTGCTGGGCACCAGCGTCGCCTACGTCTACTCGCTGGTCATCCTGGCCGTGGCCCTCGCCGAGGAGGCCGAGAGGAGCCCCGTGACGTTCTTCGACACGCCCCCCATGCTGTTCGTGTTCATCGCCCTGGGGCGGTGGCTGGAGCACGTGGCCAAGGTAAGCCAGCACCGCGGGCCCGAAGGCGCCCGAACCCCGTTTAGACTTACTAATGACCCGCGGGCTGGGGAGGGACTTAGGGAAACGCGAGACCTGCCTGTAATTAGGTGCTTCGGCCACTAAGCCGCAAATTGGTCGCTACTTCTGAAATCCCAGCTAATCTGGTAAATTATTCAAACTTTTGTTCAAGTGCACGGGTCTTGGCAAGAGCCCTGGGTTTCGGGTCAGAGGTCGCGCCGTCTCTGAGTTCCCACGCGGTGTACGGCTTCTCAGCCCAGAAGGGCACAGCACCACCGTAGGGCCGTGCCACTTGGGGCGCCTCGCACGGCGCTCAGCGTGTTACCTTGTCTTGGGAACGAGGGGGCTCTGGCCCTGGAAGACAGGGAGGGCATCGAACCTGAAATAATCTGTCGGTGGGTGGATTGGTGTTGTTGTTTTTTTCCCTTTCAGTGTGAAACGTAGTTGGTTGAACTAAGTGGCATTGGCGCATGCAGTGTGGCGAGGACCTGACTGCGTGTCGCCGGGCAGTGCGTCCCACTGCGTGGGCAAGCCCTTTGGTGCGCTGCGTCAGGGGCAGCCATTCCCTGCAGGCGTCAGTTCTCGGGAGCTCTCGTTTTACACTCTGGTTATTTCTCAGAGCAAAACCTCAGAAGCCCTGGCCAAACTCATGTCTCTCCAAGCCACGGAGGCCACCGTGGTGACCCTCGGCGAGGACAACTTAATCATCAGGTGGGTTGCTTCCGCCCAGAGTCCTCGGTGGAGCCTCACCTTGGCTCAGTGTCTGTCGGTCTGGGTGACGCGCAGCGAACACCCGTCGTGCACGTGACGCCGCAGGAGACCTCGTGAAGGCGGGCGAAGGCGCACACAGGGAGGGCCCTCCTGCAGTGCAGTGACTGCACCGGGTGTTTAAACGCCCAGAGACAAGCCCAAGTTCACAGCAGGTGTGCATGCCGGGTGTAGTGAGAGGCACTGGGCTGCAGGGGAGGAAGGCCTGCACTGGCCAGGGTCAGGGCCAGCTTCGAGGGGACATGGGTGAGAGCCGGGCCTCCCCGAGAGATGGGGGTGCAGACAGGCTGGGAGAGACGGGTTTCAAGTCTGCCAAGGATACGAAAAGAAGTGCCAGTGTTTTTCTCCTTCACAAAGTTAGCTCATATTAAAAATAATGATTATTTTTATTGTTGCTGGGACTTACGTGGCATTTACTATTTGCTGTCTCTATGTGCTTAACCAAACAAAAAAAAAACTTGTGAAGAAGGGACTGCTAGCAGTGCCCTTATTTTAAAGGTGAGGAAAGCAAACTCTTCGCCCTGCTGCTTGGGGGTGACAGGTCTGAGCTCCCGCGGTCAGGGCTGCGTCTGCCTTGCTCACACTGCGAGCCCAGCACCCGGTGGGCACCGGGAGGGCGAGCCCCAGCCAGCGGCTGTGCGCGTGACCGGGGGCTGTCTGTTGCAGGGAGGAGCAGGTGCCCGTGGAGCTGGTGCAGCGGGGCGATGTCGTCAAGGTTGTCCCCGGGGGCAAGTTCCCCGTAGACGGGAAGGTCCTGGAAGGCAACACCATGGCCGATGAGTCCCTCATCACGGGTCAGTGGGCTGTTTCGCACTCCCTTCGGTCGGGTGCCGGTGGCACCCTTGCCGGGTCTCCCGAATGGGGCTCTGTGCCTACCGCGGCCGCGCTCTCCCCCTGCAGGCGAGGCCATGCCCGTCACCAAGAAGCCGGGCAGCACGGTGATCGCCGGGTCCATGAATGCGCACGGCTCCGTGCTGGTCAGCGCCACCCACGTGGGCGGCAACACCACCCTGGCTCAGATCGTGAAGCTGGTGGAGGAGGCTCAGATGTCGAAGGTACGGGAAGAACACAAGAAGCAGAATCGCTCCTGCTTCCTCCCTGCAGAAGTCGCCCAGGGGTCCCACCGAGGCAGGCAGCCGCCGGGCGGGCGGGCGGGCGGGCGGAGAGTTGGTGCGGGAGCGAGGACCCCGGCCTCGTGCGTTCCCGCGGGTGCGGTGGGTGTCGTCAAGGGCCGCCCTTGACCGCGGCCTCGGCGTTTCGTACTCGCAGGCGCCCATCCAGCAGCTGGCCGACCGGTTCAGCGGCTATTTCGTCCCGTTCGTCGTCGTCATTTCCACGCTGACGTTGGTGGTGTGGGTTGTGATCGGTTTTGTCGATTTCGGCGTCGTTCAGAAATACTTCCCCGTAAGTTGAGCGCCGCCAGGGCCGCGTGGTGGTCGGGTTTCAGAGGATCAGTTGCCGTTCGCTCCGCCCTTTCACGCCTCCGAGTCGTCGAGCTTCAGCCCCGCACTGCGGTTTGTGGGCTGCTGTGCGCGCTGGCAGCAGACTTCTGGGGGGGGGGGACAGTCACTTCGCTTCCGGGGGTTTTACTGAAGGTGGCCTGCGTGTCCTCGTTCGGTAATTCCACAGACTTGGCTCTCAACTGCGATGCCTAAAGCAGCCACCCCAGGCGGCACTGTCCGTCTGGGGAGGTACGGAGCACACGCCACGAAGAGACCGGTCGCTTCAGGGTTTGATGGCATGATAATACCACTTCACACATTTTAAGAAAATTACGTGTATTTTTGCTGTCCGTGTCCATAAGGATCACTTTTAACCGTGCAGCTTCCCACGCAAACGCTCGTAGCTTTTTAGTGAATATTTATTTATTGCGCATTATCTGTGAGGCAAATGGACGGTGCATTTTTGAGTTTACAAAGTGGAAGAAGAACGCTATCTTAAGAAATGCAGTTTTTTCAAACTTACAAAGGGCGGAAAATAAAAAAAAAACCTTTCCTGCTTCAGACATCCATAAAAGTCAGTGATTCACCGTGGGAGTGATTCTGTCACGCCAGCGGCACTTGGCCACATTTGGAGACACGACCGTTGTCGTGACTGAGGAGGGGAGGCCACTGGCACCCAGTGGGGGCACCCAGTGGGTATCCCCAGTGGGTGCGGCTCACACTCTGCCGTGTGCCAGGCAGACCCCACAATGAAGAATGACCCGGCCCCAAGTACCAGTAGTGCTGAGGCCGAGAAAGCTTGGTACTCGGGAAAAGCTGATGGCCCACTGAGGGTAGATTTGATAACTGCCTAGCGAGTAGAGCAGTGTTGACCCTATTTTTAGAAACATCTCACATTTAGCCCAGTGTGATGTGTACTTTATCCTGAAGCCTTAGAATAAGAAACTGCAACTATTGAATGGATATTTTTTTTTAAATATTTTTATCTGTAATTAAAGACATCATATTTTGGGGGTACATGCCATTCACAGAGATGTCATTTTCTCCCTCAAAGTTCCCATCTTGAAATGAAAAGTGCCCAAGCCGTACACGTTGACATTTGAGGGGAACTCAGTGCTTTTAGGGGTCACCTCTGACTGGATTCCTAGAGCTCGCCCCTGGCCGCCTAAAGCTTCGCTCTCGGGGAGTGCCGCGCATCTGCCCGTGGCGGTGGGGGGACCCGGCCCCGACCAGGCCGGGACGTGTGGCTTCCTGCTGTTCCCTGCCTTTCCGTCTTACTCTGGCTTCTTCTGTTTTGTCTGCATTCTCAGCGAGGATGCTGGCCAACGAGGTACTGCATGTTCCTTTAAGATACTGTCGTCGCCTTGCTGCCTGCTTGTAGGGACAAGACTCAGGTCACTTCTAGAAGTCCACTCAGTCCTGTCAGAATGACAGCTGTTGTTCTGATAAGAAGTACCATTTAAAAACACACACACACACACACACACATCGTTTTTACCTCTAAGAATTGCATTGTGTCTTAAGACAACATGTTCATCTACCTAAATCCAACTGTTTCTATGAAAATTAAATGGTCCTTTAGTTATATATCTTATTTAGAATCCTGCCTTTCACAGTCAAAGAAGAAAGGGGAGATGGAAGCTAAGGAGGTTGTGTTCTGTGTCCTTGATTTAGAAAACATGCTTTTTATTGTAATTTATTGTAATTGTGAATATAGTGTCTCCTGATTATATTCCAGAGGCCCTAGCCATTTAAAAAATACACCAGGATGACTCAAAATATCAGAATGCAAATAGTAACCCCTGTAAATGCCATCATGCTTGGGAAGGAGACCCATGCTTTGTTTTGGGGGATTTACAGAGAAAACAGCAACGATTCAGGCCTCCGTGTGGTTTTGCACTTGACTCTCCGCCCGCCTCTCTCTCCTCTCCACAGACCCCCACCAGGCACACCTCCCGGGCTGAGATGGCCATCCGGTTTGCCTTCCAGACGTCCATCACCGTGCTGTGCATCGCCTGCCCCTGCTCGCTGGGCTTGGCCACGCCCACGGCGGTCATGGTGGGCACCGGCGTGGCCGCCCAGAACGGCATCCTCATCAAGGGCGGCCAGCCCCTGGAGATGGCCCACAAGGTGGGCCCCGACCCTCGGGGTCTTGGCTGGGCCGATTCTGCAGCTGTTTCCTGCACGATTCTCTTAGCTTAGAGGACTGGTGACCGTAGTGTCGGTGTGGCTTTCACGGGGAGAGAGACACCGGAGAGAGGCCGGGGGGCTGGCACTGTCCACTGAGTGAACGGGAAGCCAGGGCTGAGGGACCACAGCCGCCGCAGCCTCCAGTAACTGTGGCAGGAGTGACACTTCGTGAGCGGCAGCTGATTCAACCTGCCAACAGCTCTGAGGGGTGCTCGCTGTGCCCATTCTCCAGACGAGGGAAGTGCAGCGGGAGGGGCCGGGCTCCTCGCCCAGAGCCCTGCACTGTGAGCGGCAGAGCCGGGGTCCATGCCCCCAGGGCAGTGCTGACTCGGCAGCGGTGTGGTCAGCGCAGGGGCCCTGTGACCGTGGGGAGCGGAGTGACGGGCCTCGGTCCATGGGAACCTTCCTTTGGCCGCGTGTGCCCGTCCTTAGCCTCCCGCTGACGTGGTCAGTATTAGCTGAGCGTTTACTACGTGCGGGTCCTGCGCTGGCCCCATCACGGTTCTAAACGATCCCAGACGCAGACAAGCAGGTGTGCAGCGAGTGAGCAGACGGCAGGGCGCGAGGCCAGCAGGGCAGTGTGATGGGGGCCACGGTTACCTGCTGAGTGATAAGTGAGGAACTGAAGGAAAGGCATTGGGAGACACCGATAGGAGGTCAGGCTGCCGAGGGGAGAAGGGAGGCAGAGGGGCCGTGAAGGGCCTGGGGGGTTATTAAAGGACTCGGAAGAACGGCAGGGAGCCGTGGAGGGGTCCGTGTCACGTGGCTCGATTACCTGTTGGGAAGACCTGGCTGCAGGCGGAGGAGGGGCCGACGGGAGGCAGGACCGGCTGGGGGACGACCAGGGGCCAGCGCTGCAGGGGCCAGTGCTCAGCAGCAAGAACAGAGCAGGAGCTGGAGCTGCTGTTTGCTGAATGAGGACAGCCGTGCTGGAGGGTCGCAGTCTGAACACGGCCAGCAGACGGCCTTCCCTGGGGTCACCGGAGTCCAGGGGTCGGTGGGCTCTGGCTGTAGAGACGCAGGTTCCACTGCGGCTGCTGCTGACTTGCTGAGCCCGCCCGTGGGGACCCGTGCAGAGCTGCCATTGACCGAGTGGGATGGGCCCAAAGCCTGGCCCCAGCCTTGAACTTGCCATGCAGGAGCTTTATTCCCCACAGGCCTGTGCACGTGCACAGGCCAGAGAAAGCCGCGGTTGTCCTCGCAGACGGTGGGAGACCGGGAGTCAGGCCGACCCCCAGAGCCCTGGCTCCCGACCTGAGCCGAGGACAAGGCCGCCGGTGTTTCTGTTTCTGTCCAGGAGACGGCGGCGTGCCGTCTTCTGTCGGTGCACCTGCGGGGGTTTCTGGCTCAGCACGGTTGAGGTCCAGCCACGGGGTGGGTTTTTGGGCCAGGCAGAGAGGAGACCTGCTTCCTCAGGGGGTTGGTTGAGCCCTGGGGCAGGCTGCAGTCGGTCAGGTCCGGGGGCAGGAAGGAGGGCCGCCTGCTTGCGGGCACGCGAGTGAAGCCGTGTCTCCGGGCCGCGTGCACCCCGGGTCCCTTCCGCCTGCACTGGCAGCAGCCAGCCTGTGCTTGTCCTGGCAGATAAAGACCGTGATGTTCGACAAGACCGGCACCATCACCCACGGGGCCCCCAGGGTCATGCGGGTCCTGCTGCTCGTGGACCCGGCCACGCTGCCGCTCAGGAAGCTCCTCGCCGTGGTGGGGACTGCGGAGGCCTGCAGCGAGCACCCCTTGGGGGTGGCCGTCACCAAGTACTGCAAAGAGGTGCGTAGACCCTGGCGGCACTGCCCCCCCCAGCTCCTCCCCCACCACCTCCCCCCACGGCTCCTTCCTCCTCACAGGCTTCCGTCCCAGCTGCCTGCGGGGAGGCCTTGGCTCCGGGGCCGGGACACCCCAGCCTCAGGTCCCTGTCCTGCCTCCCCCTCACCTCCCCTCGCCCTGCTCCCTTCCTGCACAGGAACTCAAAACAGAGGCCTTGGGATACTGCACGGACTTCCAGGCTGTGCCAGGCTGTGGCATTGGCTGCAAAGTCAGCAACGTGGAAGGCATCCTGGCCCACGGCGAGCGCCTGAACGAACGGGCCCCTCACCTGAATGGGGTTGGCAGCGTCCCTGCGGAAACAGGTATCCCTGGCCTTTGTCTCCTCCGCCGCTCAGCCTGCCAGGCTGGGTCAGGTGGCAGCGTGCCAAGCCACAGAGCGCGCCGTGCCAGGCACGCCACCTGCTTCCCCTGCTGCACCTGCTCGCCGCCCTCCGCAGGGAAGCGTGCAGCTTCTCCCGTGTTCCGTGTGGCTCGGAATCTGGATGCTGACCCGTGGCAGACAGAGGTTGTGCACTGGGCACATCTGTGGAGCACCACTCCTAATTTGAGCCTCCTGGTTCTTATCCTGAGTTAGCCTTGCTGCTCGCGAGCTACCCAGCAGACACGTGGGGATTCCACTGTGCTCTTCCCGGGCAGGACACCGGCCGCGTGGTAGAACTCGGGTGGGAAGGTGGACCTCCAGAGCTGGCCGAAGTCAGGGGAAGCCGATGGGAATGGTCCGTCCATGCGAAGAAGGGGCACTGCTTGGAGCGACAGCTGTTTTTGAAAACGGCCTGACTCATTCTCAGGATAGCCTGGTAGCCCTGGGCGTCAGGGTGTGGAAACACCCCACCCCCCAAACCAAAGCCTGTGCCTGGTGTTTTCTCTTAAGGATGTCGGTAGTTGACTCTTGCTCTAGACTTTACTATTGGAAGCCATGTACTGCCTCCTAGCAACTTAAATAAAGCCCTAGGTGGACCTTTCTATTTTGTTTGTAAGGACTGGTCCGTGCAGTGACGCTTAAGTTACTGGCCCACGGGCAGTGGCAGGCGAAAGGCTCTCCCGACCTATTAGGAGGCGTAGCTCTGAAAGATCTCGCAGAGGTGGGCAGACTGGGGGCTGGGCCATCTCTGCCAAGCAGCGAGGGGCCTAGTGAGCACTCGCCTGCGGTGCTGGAGGGACCCAAATGACCTGAAAGGGGACCAGCAGGTCCCCCGGAGGGAAAGGAGGACACCACGTAATGTCAGATGTGTTCCTGCCGTTTTCACACGTGGAGCGTGTGTGGCCTGTGACGCCCGTCTTACTCACGCCCACGTGTCCTGCACGCGGTCCTGCAGGGGGTGTTGAGCGGCGCTCGCTGGGCTCAGGCCTCAGACCGGTAGGGGGCGCTGCCGCCGCGAACAGGGCTCTGCGGGTTCTAGTGCGCTCTCACCGCGGACGCGTGCTCGCCGCGCTGACCACCGACCCTTTCCGCCAGACGCCGCCCCCCGGACCTTCTCCGTGCTGATCGGGAACCGAGAGTGGATGAGGCGCAACGGCCTAGCCGTTTCCCGCGACGTCCGTGACTCGATGACGGACCACGAGAACAAGGGCCACACGGCCATCCTGGTGGCCATCGACGGTATCCCGGCGCTCGCGCCCGCCCCCTGCGCGCGGAAGTGAAGCGGCTTGGGGATGGCAGGCAAAGATGGGTTCTGCCCCTTTAAAAAAAAATAGCCCTTGCTCTCCATCGATTCTAGTCCTGCTTGGGCAGAGGGGCCTTGCCGCCCTCCTCCCGTCACCCTCACCCGAGTGAGGCCTTTCCTGCACCCCCTCCCCGGCGGCCTCATCCTGGAGCTGCTCCGCGTGGGCGGCGGCTCCTCGCTGCTGGAAGTCTGCCCTCCCCTGGCCGTGGGCGGCCCAAACAGGTCACAGAGTGGGAGGTCGGCCTGCCTGCCCGCCCCCACGAGGTCCGGCAGCTGGCCTCCGAGCCTCTTAAAATCGCATGTAGACTCCGTGCCCAGGCGTGTCTGGGGCTGTAGGTCCCAGAGACATTTCAGCCTGCCTTCGCTGGTGTTAGTTTGTGCTCACAGAAGTAAAACTGTTGCAGATAGGAGATAACTCATGTTGCCGTCTTACGACTGGACTGCTCCAGCCAAATTTGTCCTCTTCCCATTCTCCTTTTTTTCCTTCTTCCACCCCCCCGCCAGCCCGCCTCCTAGGTCCTTGTGAACCCACAGTGCCATGGGCTCATCAGAGCAGGGCTGCCCAGCTCAAGGGGCGGGCCCCCTGCCGTATCCCCCTCACCCTCGCTCTGCCCCCACCGCACCTGCTCAGCATCTAAAAGATTCACTCAAAAAAATTCTGTGCAAGTGTTTTTTTGTCATAAGAGAAAAAAAGAAAGTACTAGTTTTCTCGCTTCCTAAGTAGCATTTGTTGTATTGTAATGGCGAACGTGTATTGAGTTACGAGCCACACGCTCTGCAGAGGACTGGGTGTGCCCGGCAGAGCATCTGGGACGTTCTGAGCGCTGGAAGGAAGAAACTGGAGTCACGCGTTACGTGCCCCTCAGAGAGCCCCGCTGACACCCTGACAGTCTGTCTTCCCAGGCTCCTGGGTGCGCCTGTCAGTGTGTGTGGGTTTTACAGAGCAGCATCTAACCACGCTGCGTTCTGTCCATTGGGCGTTTCGGGTTTCGCGTGTGACGCGGCGTGGCGGGGGCCGGGGCCCTGCCGCGGCGCCCTCACTGCGCTGTCCCCGCAGGGCTGCTCTGTGGGATGATCGCCATCGCAGACACCGTCAAGCCGGAGGCCGCCCTGGCCGTGCACACCCTGAAGAGCATGGGCGTGGACGTGGTCCTGATCACGGGGGACAACCGCAAGACAGCCCGGGCCATCGCCGCCCAGGTACGGGCCGGGCCCTCTCCCTTCCCCCCTCCCCCACGCCCGAGTGGGTCTGGGCTCATGGAAGCGGTCGGAGAGGACGAGAAACGCCTGGGGGTCAGCGCTCAGCTCTGTGTCCGGGCTCCCCCGGCTGCCTGCCTCTCCCACCACGAAGCATCTGCCCGCCCCACCCTGGGGGTCACGGAGCCGCCACGGCCGGGGCCCCCCACTGTGGGCCAGGGCGCGGTCATTCACGCAGGACCGCCTGCAGCCCTGGAGAGGCAGCCTCCCCTCCCGTTCCCAGTCTCCCTGATGAACAAAACAGAACCCTGGCTCCCGGGGTGGGGGTGGGGGGGTAAACAAACAGCTCTGGAGCCTGTACTACGTCGCAGGCACGTTTTGCTCGCTCCCGCTTCCCAGCCGCGGGCGCCAGGTGCCCGGCGGACCCGAGGCAGCCGGGGCTCTGGAGTTTGGGCCGCGAGGACAGCGCTGCAGTGCGCTGGCACGGCCTAGCCCGAGGGGCTGGGGTGCGGGGCTCAAGTGCAAGTTCCCAAAAAGCATCTACGCCCCTCCTCCCGAAACGTGCGTCAGCTTGCACGCTTTTGGGAACGAGCTGCTCCCTGTGAGGGGGGCCAGCAGCGCCCTCTTCGCGGGGCACTCGGTGCTAACTAACGGTGGATGTGCTGAGTCACTCCCCTTCCCGGTGAAAACTCGTTCGTCCACCCCGACGCACTTACTAAGTGCCGCCCATGTGACCACAGACTCCAGAGGGCCATGAGGAGGGTGCCTGCCCTGAAGGAGCACGCGGCCCCTTGGGGAGGGTGGCCCAGTGACCGACTCTGCATTGAGCACCCAGTGCTTCCGCGGAAGAGCACACAGGGCACACGGGAGCTGCCGGGAGCAGGCATCAGTGGACAGGGCCCGGGGTGGGGGGGCCTTGGCAGGGGAGGGCGTGCTTGATCAGGAGCGGTCTGAGGAGGAGGAGGGGGCAGGCGCTGGGGGAGGCAAGCTGACCTTTCCGGAGGGAACGGGCAGCTGAGTCGCTGTGCGCTGGAGAGCGCAGGGAGCTGCGTGGTGTGGAGCTCGGCGTGTGCCCGCCGGGCCCGCGGGGCCGGGCGCTGGAGACAGACAGAGATCTAAGAGGGGCCTGGGGAGCAGACCGAGGGGTTGAGATGTCCCAAGGACACGGGGGTCCCCTGGAGGACTCGAAGCAGGAGAGTAAATGACCAGAGGGTTAGGGTTTGGGAGACACTGGGCAGCATGTGGAGAGGGCAGTTGGGAGGCCAGGCGAGGGCCCCAGAGCACTGGCCTTGGGATGGGGTTGCGGCTGAACGTGCCACGTGGCCTGGAACCAGAGGGCTTGGTGACTGACCTCATCGCCTGGACCTCGAGGCCGGGGCCGGAGGGGTGGGGCCAGGATGACTCTCGGGTTTCTCGACTGTCCCTGTCCTTTGCCGGCGCCAGCTGGGTTGTCACATACTCACTTCTGGGCTGCTGTTCTCCCTCCCTTTCAGGTTGGCATCAACAAAGTCTTTGCAGAGGTGCTGCCTTCTCACAAGGTGGCCAAGGTCCAGGAGCTGCAGAAGGAAGGGAGGAAAGTGGCCATGGTGGGGGACGGGATCAACGACTCCCCGGCCCTGGCCCAGGCGGACGTGGGCATCGCCATCGGGACGGGCACGGACGTCGCCATCGAGGCGGCCGACATCGTGCTCATCCGGGTGAGCTCGCCGGCCGATCCCCTCCTCCCCCGGGTGCGGGCCGCGGGGCACAGCCGGGACTCAGCGCCGCTCCTCCCCTGCAGAGTGACCTGCTCGACGTGGTGGCCGGCATTCGCCTGTCCAAGAGGACAGTCTGGAGGATACGGCTCAACCTGGTGCTGGCGCTGATCTATAACCTGGTGGGGGTCCCCATCGCGGCAGGTAAGCGGGCTCTGCCGGCCTGGTGCCCGCCACCCGCACCTGGTGAGCAGCCCACCTCACTGGCTGGTCCGCCAGAGCCTTTTAGAAAGAGTTGGTTTCGTTACGTTCTGTGCTCGCTGAGTCTCGGAAGGTCACTGCGCAGCTGCAGAGGCCGCCCAGACCTGCGTTCACTCTGGGCCCCTCTGCAGAGCTGCCTGAGGGGCTTGCTTGACTGTTTGCTCACGGTGGCCCTGTTTTCTGAGCCACCGGTTACACATACGGTCTGGAAAACAGTCATCGCTAACAGTACGGGGCCCCTGCTGCACGCTGGGCGCCCTGACTGGTGTTTTAGAGCCTCACCCTGAAAATTCACCCCTCCTTAGACTGACCTCTCTCAGAAACGATCACGGAGAGACCTGGGCCTTGTCTGCCTTACGGCTCCTCCCTTCCCCTTTGAATATCGAGTTACCAGATAGGAAAGGGCTCCAGACACTCCTGCAAGGAAAGGCGCCCGCCCGCCTGGGCTGAGCCTGACGTTTTTAAACACGACGCTGCCACCTCCGGTGCCCCGTTGCGCCTGAGCGGTGGAAGGAGCCTCACACAGCCAGGCAGCGTGCCCGCCTTAGCCTCCTGCTCCGTGGGGGAGGCCCCACCCGTGTTCCTGCTGCCCCCCCCACCCCCCCGGGCAGGGCCCCTGCGCCAGTTCCCGCCCTGGAGGCTCTGGCCCTGTCCTGGGGCGGTTTGCTCCCTGCAGCGGAGACCAGCCGTGCAGACCGGGTGCAGCCCCAGCAGTGCGGGGACTCCCACGGTCCCCGTGTGCCCCAGGGCAGCTGGTGGTCACCCCTCTGACCCCTCTGGTCCCCAAGAGCCCCTGCCCCCTGGAGCTTCCCTTGAAACTGGTGATGGCTCCGGTGGACAGGCCCAGGAAGTCCTGGCGGACTTGGGTAGGAGGCCCAAGGCCCCTCAACAGCGCCCCCCACTGCCCAGCTCTGAGACAGCCTGCCCCGTGGACTCATGGGCCTGGGGCAGGGCAGCAGGCCCTGGAGCCTTGCCGAGACCTTCGAGGTGGGCCCTCTCCGCAGAAGAGGTGCTCCCCTGGGGGCCGCAGAGTGAGGGTCGTGCCCCCTCGGCAGGCGTCTTCATGCCCCTGGGCATCGTGCTGCAGCCGTGGATGGGCTCGGCGGCCATGGCGGCGTCCTCTGTGTCTGTGGTCCTGTCGTCGCTGCAGCTGAAGTGGTGAGTCCTCACGCGGCCAGGGCCCTGCCGCCCCGGGCACGGAGCAGGCTGGGGCTGGCGTAGGTGTGTCAGGCTCCTGGTTCGTGCACCTAAGGCAGGGACTGGAGGGAGCGAGTAGAGCCCCGTACATGTTTGTGCAATGATTTATTAGCACCGCGAGCAAATAATGTGTCACTTAACAGCCAGCATGTGCTGGGCTGCTGCAGCTACCCTGCTCGAGGGCTGCTTATGTAAGATCGGTGACGCTGGCTGCAGGGCCGTGCTCTGAGACACGGCCCGCGGGCGACTCCGTCCTTCCCCGAGCGCCACAGGGGCACCTGCACAAAGCCGGGGTCAGCCCTGTGGTGTCATCCGCTGCTCCCAGGTCACACGCCGGCGCACCATGCCACCGCGCAGCCCAGCACGGGCCGATCCAGGCGCCAGGGAGGGCGCGGCCGCCGGGCGACGCGGTCACCGGGAGGTTGCTGCTGCTGGCGTGACGCCGCGTGGCGCTTCACGCAGGCTTGTCTCGCGGACAGAGAGAACACACCCCAACAGAACAGCGAAAGGCGGAGTGGCTCCGTAAACCCCCAGCGTGGCCGTTTGTCACCGTTGCCCGGGGTCGTGCTGCACTCATGTCCACACCAGCCTCGCCACACACACCCACGGGAGGCACGGGTTGGGTTGGGTTGTGTTGTCACAGTGGCCGTGACGTCTGTGGGTGACGGGAATCTCCCGGCTCCACTGTGCTCTTACGGGACCTCCATCGCGCACAGGGGCCCACTGCTGACCGGAGCGCTGCTGTGTGGCCCGTGATGCAGACACGGGACCACTGTGCATTGTCAGGCTCCCTGTTTTTAAGTATAGTTGACTTTTACTCAGTAGTGCTCCCATTTGAGGAAAGGCAGCCGCGGCCTGCTGGGTGCTGGGCGTCTGCATAAACGGGTGTCTAAGCGGGCGGCATCCGCCGGCCCCTGGGCCCGATGCCGTGTGCTGTGGGAAGACCCGGGCGAGAGGCCTTGGCTGGGTGCGGACGCCCGTGTCCGGAATGGTTCAGACGCTCCTGGGTCCTCGCCCCGCAGGTACAGGAAGCTGGACCTGGAGCGGTACGAGGCCCAGGCCCAGGGCCGCCTGAAGCCGCTGACCGCGTCCCAGGTCAGCGTGCACGTGGGCATGGACGACCGGCGGCGGGACTCCCCCAGGGCCGTGCCCTGGGACCAGGTCAGCTACGTCAGCCGCGTGTCGCTGTCCTCCCTGAAGTCCGACAGGCCGCCTCCGCACGGCGCTGCGGCCGAGGACGGCGGGGACAAGTGGTCTCTGCTCCTGAACGCCCGGGACGAGGAGCAGTGCATCTGACCGCGCCGCGGGCGGGTCTGCTGAGGACCTGGCTGGCTGGCTGGCCGGCAGGCAGGGGGCGGAGGGGGATGCAGCCAGCCCTCCCCGCAAACCTCTGCTTCAGCCTCGGGGACGGTTGCCTGGGAAACGAGGAAGCCCTCGCCCGACCAGACTCCGCTGAGCCGGGCCAGGGAACTCTCGGGGGACCTGGGTGCCGTGCTCTTGGGTCCAGCGCCCACGAACATCGCGTCTCTAAGACCAGTTTACCTCACACGTGCCCTGCAGTTTCCGCTGCTTCCATCTCTCTCTCTTCTGTCCTTGACCCTGGGCGGGGGGGGGGGGGCACCCTCACCCTCTTTCAGGGCGGGACTCCCACCCGCGCCGTCCCAGCTGCTGTGCCCAGTGCCGTGCAGGCGTCGGGGCGCCCGCCGGAGGGCTGGTCAGCCTCCCCTCCGGGCCTGGACAGGTCGTTCTTGCTTAGGGGCCGCTTCTCCGTGGGCGCTGGTCCTCCCGCCCCTCAGACAGGCGCTGCCCAGCGGGTGGGAGGGGCTCAGGCCCGAGACGTGAGAAACCCCGCCTCCTGTGGCGTCTGCGCTTGGGCCCCGGCAGCCCGTGGGGGAGGCTTGTGCGTGCAGGAACCTCCTTCACCACACCAGGAGCCCGGTGACCTGCTGCGTGACTGTCCCTCAGTCCAAAAGAGAGGTCACGTCGGGGGCGCACCCGTGGTGTGGGACCCCAAGGAAGGATCCACATGAGAGGGCGTCGCAGGTCCCCTCCACGAGCCCCTGCCGCTCCTGCACGCCCGGGTGGTGGTGCTGTAGAAAAGGGTGGCCGAGGCCTCCCAAAGGCTGTGTCCTTCTGCCACTGTCAGCGGCTCTCTGTGATCGCATGCCCCTGGAAGGACAGCAGTGTGGCTGGTTTCAGGCTCTGCGGTTGCTGGCGTGGGAACAGGCTAGTGGGATCCGAATCTTAGCATTCTGAGTGCTCTGTCTGGTCTAAGTTCAAGGTGAGTCCCTTGCCACACACACAAGATTGTTTTACGTATTGTCAGTTGTTTTCCAGGGCAAGGCTGAGTTACTCTTTATAGGGTCCCTCTAATCCTGCCAAGCAAACCAGCAGAGCGGACACGGCAGTGCGCCCTCCGCAGGCAGAGGGAAGGGGCCCCGAGGGCTGAGGGTCCCGCCCGGGATCACGCGGCCCGGACCCAGGCCGGAACGGGGCCAGATCCGGGCCTGCGGGCTCTGACGTCTTTCTCCGGCACTGCTGCTGCTGCTGCTGCTGCTGCTGCGGCCGTGCCCGGAATGTTTTCCTCGATAAGAATGAACCAGAAAAGGCCCTCGGCCTGAGGGACAGACCAGCCGGGCGGCCGGTGTGCTCACTGGGTGGACGCGGGATGAAGCTCGATCGCCAGGCCACGTCCCCTTCCCTCGGACGAGTTGTCTCTCTGTGTTTGCCTGTAGTTTCGTTTCCACTGGGTCTCACCCTCTAAAATCCCAGTGCCGGGCTGCGCTGTGTTTTCATTCTTTCAATCTTCCTTTTCCTCCCCAGCCCCTGCCTGGCGTGGGTCCCCAGCCGTCCTTGTTCTTGGCTGTATTGAGGGGGCGTTTCTTGTCACCTAACCGGGCTAATCATTTTCCGAAGACTAATTGCATTGATTTTTTTCAAAAAAGCTTTTAGGACCGTACACATGTTTATATAGACATGAAGATATTTATGTATTGTACAGAAAATAAATTTTTAGACGTTCAAATTGGGTGGGAGTTGGAACAATTCCTGCTTCAGAAACTTTTCATGCTGTATTAGAATAAAGCTGCTTTTTATTCATCCAAAGACCCCTGCTTTTGGCTGGCCCTGTCTGAGTGAGCAGCGCCACCTCCAGGGAGACCCTTGAGGGGCTGGCTTTGCTCTCAGTGCCCTTTGGGGCGGGGGGTTGGGGGGGGAGGGGGGTGGGTTAGGGGGGCAGGCCTAGCCGTAGCCAGCTGAGCCTTCCCATTGGCCAACGCCAGCACTGGGTGAGCCCCTCTCCCCAGTGCCTGCTCCTCTGGTGTGTGGGGAGCCCTCTGAAGGGTCGCCCACGTCAGGGCATCTGGCCCCCTGGGCACACAGGCCCGGTTACCCTGGCGACGCACCCTCTGGGCGAGGGGGTTGTCCACAAAAGGCCGTTCTCAGACGCACGCGTGTTAATCCAGGTGGCTGTGTGCTGGCTTCCTTGGCCCCGAAGGATCGGGTGGGGAAACAGTAGAAAAGTGTGGACCCAAGGGCTCCGCTGGGAAGGCTCTGGGCATCTCGGGGTGGGGGGGCGGGGGGGGGGCAGGGTCTTTATTATCCAAACCAGGGGACTTGGGAACAGAAGGAGGTGCCGTCAGTAATGGCGCCAGGACCGAGGGCCGACACGGGACCCTCACAGCCAACGGGGACATGGGGACCCGGTCCTTAAAGGACGGAGAGACATGATGAGGGCTTCCCCGGCACAGACCATGTCACTTCAGAACCTGGATCTAATGGCAGGTTCCAGGGGCACACTGGTGACATCAGCCTTTACCAGGTTTCGAGGCTCCCCCTCTCTCACGTGCTGACACCGGCATCACCCTGTGGAGTCCCTGAGGCGGGTAACGGTCTGGCGGCTCCCCAGCACCGCACGCTGGAGTCCGTCACGGGTTCACACCGGTGCGCACGCACACCACGGGGCCGGCCCTCAGCGCGCTGCGGCGGGCTTCACGCACGGCGTGCCTGGCTCCCGGGGGCCGGGTGTGGGAATTTCAGGTGGTCACCGTGTCTCGTGGTGGAAAGGAAGGGCTGATACCACCTTAGGAAGGTCCTAGATTGCCTTAGAAGATAAATACTTCCTAAAACTTGAGCAAATTTCTTTGATTCCTCATGCAGCAGAATGAATCATAACATCCGTCCATTCCTGACGAGTTTTCAGCCCTTAAGACCTTAGTGCAGAAATAAGGGGATGTGATAATTCTAGTATTTTTTTAAATGGCAATTGGAAATGGACATGTCAGAGAAAGTATTAAATCCCTAAATTTTTCTGCTGGTTTACTAAAGAACCAAGATCAATAAAAGCGACCTTTATTTTAATAAAATACAGCATTGCAAAATCAAAGAGGTTAATTAGAAAAACATTATCTGAATTACAGAAGGCTGTTTTGTGTTTGAAAAATTCCATGTTAGTATTTCAGTAAATTCCCTAATGCATATAAAATTCTGCTTGTTTTTTGCATACAACTTTTTCTTAACTGTTTGCTGAAGACAGAGTAAGGAGTGCCTGTGCAAAGGCACGCCCGAAGCAACCATCCGTGTGGCCTCGGGCTTTTGGGGTGTGGGGGGTGTGGGGACGCCGACGGAGCCCTTCGGGGGGCCATGGGGCTGGGGGAAGTTGAGTCTCGACTTCCTGCATCTGCAGACTGCTCGGGCCGGGAAACCAGCACCACCACCATTTGGGTCCCTCCCCGAGGGGGCTGTCTGCTTGTCTGCCCTGTCGCCTCGGAGTGCAAAGGCGGGGCCGGCGGCTGCCGTGAAGGCACGGCTGTGAGCGCGAGAAATAACGCCACCCAGTCCCAGAGTCTCCTCTCCTCTGCTCCACAGGATGAGCACAGATGTAAAACCACCCCAGGGCTAAGAGGAAAACTAGAACTGACGGAAGTTGAACGTTCTTTCCCCCAGGAAAGGAAATGGTTATTTTTTTTTCTTAATAGAAAAGTAACTGCTTATATAGCAAAAACATAAGCATGCAGAACCAGATAAAGGGGACCTAAGGCTGCCATCGTACCCACAGGCCTGGCCCCCAAGAGGAAGCAGCGTGAACATGATGTCAGGGGTGGGGGGGTGTCCTTTGCGGGTGGATCCTATCAGGACGCAGGGAGCAAAGCCGGGCCACCCACAGGGACCCAGCTCCCCAACCGAATTGCAGCCCCTTGGGGGAGGTAACAGTGGGGGCTGGGGGGGGCGTGGCAGGCACCTGGGTCTGAGTCAGGGCAGGCAGCAGCCAACGTCCAAGCACCGTGGGTGCTGCAGCAGGCTCCGTCACCCTTATGGAGCTGGTCCTCAGCCGCGCTAGGAGCTACGTGCATCGCTGTCCCCTCCCTGCAGGGGGAGGACCAACTGAGGAGGGCGAAGGGACCTGCCCAGGGCCCAGCGCCGGGCCAGTGGTAAAGCCCATTGGACTCCATTGTGCCCGCCCCCCTGGGCCACACCCCTCCCTACAAAGGAGACACTGGGTGCTTGCATTAGCTGAAGCTGCTGGGCTCCCTGGGCACCCCTTGGTGCTGAGCTCGGGGCTCTCCCGGTGTCCTGTGGCAGGACAGTGTGGTTTATCTCCAGGGCCACCGGGTGTCTCTCTGACCAAAACTACCTCCCTGTCTGCAGCCAGAGCCCAGACTCGCTAGATCGCTCTGGTGCGTCTGGAAACTCACGTAGACGTCATCGAGGCGGAAACGTGCACTGACAGGCTGGAAGAGACCCCGGGCGCCTGGCGCCGCCGCCCGTCCCCGTGTGCGCAGGTGGCCGGGGCTCGGAACCGCTGGTTTCCGTCAGCTGCGCAGACACGCTGTTGGGACGGCTCCACGGTGACAGTGTCCTTTGCTGTCACCTGTGCCTGAGCTTCCTCGGGTCTTCTGGCAGGTTTAGATTTTTTTTTAAATCTTCGACATTAAACAAAAAAGATTTCTAAGGGTTCACAGTCCTAAGTTTCAAGTTCTAAGACTCCTGTGTTTGCTTGGGCTCAAGGTCCCCAGCCCACCCCCTGGGCAGACCGCTGCCCCCCAGTGTCCAGCACCGTGCTGGCCCCTGGCCAGCGTTCACCAGCTCCAGACCGTCCATTTTCTCATCCGTTCGCTGCGGAGTGCTGCCCGCTTTGCTGTCCTGAGATCCGAGGAAGGAGGGGGCAGTCCGCAGTAAACCCCCACTCAAGGTCAAGCTGGCCGATGGTTTCAGGCCACCCGGACAGGTCATGGACGTGCTGTCCTGCCTGGGCTACAGGGAAGGGACAGAGGACCTTGAACTGTGTCCTTCCCCACCCTGACTTCTCAGGAGAAGCCCCGCGTTTCAAACCAAGTTCCAGGCACTCGCCAGGCACTGCCCACCGTCAGTCGGGACTTTTCTCTAGTCCGGACGTCCGCTATTTCCGCGGCCGCGGACCGCGGCTCAACCCGTCGCGCGTGCGCGCGCCCTCGTCCCCACGGGCGGCAGGCTGGAGACCCAATTGGGACCTGTGGCTTCTGTCCCCGTGCTCTTTCCACTCCATAACTGGTTTCCAGAATTTAGTTTGCATCGGAATCATCCAGAAAATATGTTAACAATGCAGGGGTGGCGTCCTGGTCCCAGAGATTCAGACTCCGTAGGCGGAGCTCCCGCCTCGCCTTTCTGACAAGCATGCGCAGTGGGTCTGAGGCGTGTACCCGCGGCCTGCAGGTGTGGATGACGACCCCACGGGCAGCTCCCACTTCCCAGCACCCCCCCACTGTGTTTCTAAAGTGCCATCGCTCCCCTTCTGGCAGGTTCAGGTAAGAGGTTCCGGGTGGGCTCCTGCTTTGGGGGAAGGTGACAGTTCCTCAGGGCGAGATCGCTGGTGAGGTTATCAGTCACAACTACAGACGCTCTGCCTGGCACCCTCCATCTGCCAGTGTCTGCACTGTGATCCTGGGGTGAAGAGGAACCTGGGGCCCAGCTCAGTGAGCAGGACCCTGAGACAGAATGGGAGACCCCCCCATCCCCACCCCGCGAGGAGGTCAAAGCAGAGGAGAGGAGCTGTTGCCAGAAGTCGGCCTGTGCCTGAAGCCGCGGACCGCCGAGGAAACCTGGCGCGGGGGGCGGGGGGTGGGGGCGCTCAGTGACGCTGCCGGAGGCGGGGGAGAGGCCTGATTAGAAGCTTCGCTCCCACACAGCACGCCCCACTGCCTGCCTCCACCTGCTTTACATCGTTTGGTTTGAAGACCAGCAATCTCCCACTTGCTTTTGTTTGGGGCGACACCACTGGAGGTAGCCGAATCTGCAGCTCCTGCCGCACTGGGGTTCCTGCCACCCTGTGTGCCCCCCCCATTCGATGGGTCTCCTTGAAGGAGGGCCCCCACCAACTTCCCCCGGAAATTGGATTCTCTGCACCAGCTTCTCGTTCCCACAGGAGCTGACTTTGCCCGGAACCCACTGGAAGCCGGCTAGCCCTGGCTGGTGTGGCTCAGTGGATTGAGCGCAGGCCTGCGAACTAAAGGGTCGCCGGTTCTGTTCCCAGTCAGGGCACGTGCCTGGGTTGTGGGCCAGGTCCCCAGTAGGGAGCATGCAAGAGGCAACCACACACTGATGTTTCTCTCCCTCCTTTTCTCTAAAAATAAATAAATAAAATATTTTAAAAAAAACGAAAGAACCCCGCTGGAAACTGAGGCGGCAAGGCCAGTGTGTGGTGAAGGAGCCAGCTGGAGCTATGGCTGCTGCCCAGGTCCCGGGCCTCGGAGGCCCCGCACAGAACCCCCGCCTCCCCAGTGCGATGCCCGGGCACACAGAGGCCTGCCAGCTCCTGTGCCTGGGAGTGTTTGCTCCGCACACCTAGAGGGACCTTGTCCTCTCCTCCTTCCCCAGCTTTCCCTACTGCCCCCCAAACCACCGTGAAATCCAACGTGCGTTAAGACTCATCCAGTTCCGATGCCATTGTTGCCAGAGCTACCCTAAAGCCACGTTCCGTGACCCAGGGCGCAGACCATGCGAGTTCTAGTCCTGGCCCTTCCCTTTGCGACTTAGGCAGTCACTTTGCGCCTCCGTTTTCTCACCTGTACAACGGGTTTATGTGCCTTCCCTGCCAACCCACAGAGCTGTGGTGAAGGCACATGAAGTGGCGAGCGTGAAAGTGCTTGTCGAGTAGTAAGGGGCGCACAAAGGCGAGTTAAGTTGACCTGTTAATGACGAGGAGCAGAACTAGGAAGAGAGAAGGCACGAGGTCTCGGCCCTGACCTTTCTTACCACCCACCTTGTGGTCGTTCCCGTGCCCACGCCCATGAAGACCTCCTAATACACTCACGCACCGTCCTGGAATGTGTTGCCTTCCTGGGGCCTTTCGATTTTAATCGCCTGGAAGGAGGGAGACCCAGAGGCAGGCATTGATGACTCAGAAATGCGGGCACCGTGAGGCGTGCGTGAACGGGAATGTCTGGGGCACGGACAGCTCCCGGGTCAGCGTCCCGCAAGGCCCACCGTGACTCTGCCCCCAGGGAGGGGGAGCACTCCTGTGGACGTGCCTGGGAGCCCCCCAGCCCTGCGCCGTGCCCCCCGCTCATGCGGCACTGGGAGGGCGGGTGAGGGGGTGAGGGGGAAATCAGGCACTGTGGGCCGCTGGACCATTAGAGGACTCGGCCTGTGCGTTCTAAATGGCCTTCCCGGTGAGGATGAGGTCTCAGTGGACTGTTCACAGTGTGATGGGCTTTTCTAGAAAGCTGTCAGCCGCTCCTGGCCTCCCGGACCGCTCAGAGCGGAGGAGACGCGGAGGGACAGGGGGCAGCCGTGGTCGCAGCCCCTACGTCCCTGTGTATCTCTAGCTGGCATCGTCTGAGCCTCCGCTTCCCCTCGCCGCCCCCCCCCCATTCTGACTTGAAGGAGAGCCACAGTCTCTGTCCCCCGCGCCCACACACGCCGGGCTCGCGGAGACCTTCCCGGGCCCGAGCTCTGCAGCCAGCAATGCACCCGGAGCACGGGACTACGACCTCCGAGAATCGCAAAACCTGGGGAGAGGGGACCTGGCCTTTCTTGAAGAAGTTGGCTTTCCAAGTCTCTCCTGAGGACTTTATTAGATCTTTCAGAGCAAGGAGACCAGCAAGTGCCTATTTTCTCCGGCCCGTGGGGTCACCCCAGACTCGAGTCCCGATCTGGCAGAGTCTGGCCCCGCGGGCCCTCGTCTCCCCTGCTCACGCCCGGCTCCGGGAGGAGGCGGGCGCCCGTGGCCCCCTCTGCACATCGCGGCGCCCGTCCTCACCCATCGGCTCCTCAGCAGCGTGGCCACCCCCTTCCGCCCAGAACACGTTCTCCTCCCCCCAGAGGGACTTGTTGTCCTCCCACAGGGCCTTCTCCTCCTCCAGGAGAGCTCGCTCCTCGACCCACAGGGCCTTGCCTTCCTCCCAGAGAGCCTTGTCCTCCTGAAGAAGGTACAGGTCTATTTCCTGCAGGGCCTTGTCTTCCCTCCAGAAGAGACAGTGCTTCTCCCAGAAGCTCTCCTCCTCTTCCCGGAAAGACTTTTCTATTTCCCAGAAGGCTTTCTCCTCCTCCCAGAAGGCCTCCTCCTCTTCCCAGAAAGGTCTCTCCTCCTCCCAGGAGCTCAGCACCTGATCCTGGAAAGCGCGGATCTTGCCTCGGAAATGCCACATCTCTGCCCTGAAGTCTTCTATTTTCCCGCGGAAAACCCTGATCTCTTCCAGGAAAGCCTTTTCCTCCTGCAGCTTGTAGGCTCCTTTCTTCCGGTGAACGTTGGGCAAGGAGCCCAGCAGCGACCGGAAGCAGCCAAGTCCCATCCGTTTGCACACCTTGAAGAGAGACATCTTCCTGCCCAGCCAGGACAGCGGGTTGGCCATAATGGACCACAGGGCCGTTGGCCAAGTCCAGGTCAGCAGGTCAAAACCTGAGGGGACACACCAGAGAGAACACGTCCATGAGTGTCACATTGCAGAGGACGAGCCCTTGAGCACGTACCATTTGATCTGGGACAATTTAACCAGCCATTTCTTTCTCTGCCCCCTTGGCAGTGTTGGAGGAACAAGCTTTGCTAGAAAAACATGCTGGGTTGTCAAGGCTTTGCACTGAAGGTGTTGTCGATATCATCAAGCCCCAGGCACCTAACATCACAGAATCTCAGGGGGCAAGGGAAGTGCTTCTCAACAGGGAGAGGAGAGGAGAGGAGAGGAGGGAGAGAATGACAGATCTCCTAGTCTCGCCATGTGTTTGACAGATCAGGTATAGAAACCACCCACAAAGATCGGTAACCGCAAAGGTGGGCCGAGGGATGAAAAGGGCCGGGCGCGGGAAAGCGGTTGGAGTGCAGGTGAAATGAGGGGCACGCACAGGCGGCCGGGGCACTCATTGCCATTCCGAGCTTTCTGCAAGTAGCTGCCAGGGTCTGGCCGAGCAGTGCACTGTGGGGCAACACGAGTCCCTTCGGGTGAGCAGGATCTCTCCTTTCTCTGTTTTCTGACGCGGGAGAGAAGGAAGGACACACAGCCAGTGCATGTGTGTGTGCGTGAATGTGTGTGTGTGTGTGTGGTGGAGAGAGGGTGGCTGCACTGTGGGCAGCTGGTGGCATTGCCATCCACCCAGTCACACAAGCCAGAGCCTGGAGATTTTCCCTGACACCTTCCTCCCCCTCACTGGACTTTGGATCCATCCCCCAGCCCTGCCAGTGAAGATCCTTAACGATGCTTGACCCCGCAGCCCCTGCTCCATTTCCTGGACCGCGGCCAGTTCAGGCCAGGATGCCGGAAGCAGCCGGACGGGTCCCTGGTCCAGAGTTCACTCTCCCATCTTCCCTGACGCTGTGGCCCTAGGGGTGCTTCTGAGCACCGTCCCGTCCCCCCACGGCTGCTCGCAGCCCTTCAAAGCCCCACCGCCCGAATACCCGATCCAAACGCCTTAGCAGGCCCTCTGTAACTGGCCCCCACCCCCGCTTGTCTCTCTCCCTCCTGCTACCCAGTCTCCACTCAAGTCCAGACCTAAGACTCAGGAACAATGGGCTGCAACATCCCGTCCTCTGGACATGGCTGCCGTTTCCTGCGTGCACACCAGGGCGCGTGCAGTGTCCTCTGTCAAGATCACCTTCCCCTCCCACGGGGGGCGTGAGTTCCTGCTCTTCCTTTCCCTCTGAACGCTACCTGGGCCTCCGAGGTTCATCCACGCCTCCTCGGTGCGCCCTGTCGCTGCACGGTCCCACTGCTTGCTTGTCACGTCCGACTGAGATTAGGGGTGAACAAGCCTTGCCGCCATTCCTGAACCCTGATACTCAACATAAAGCTGTTCGTGTAGGAGGTAATAATGCCAACGGTTGAATTGAACTGAATTCCATTGGGTTTTGCAACTTGGATTTTCTGATGTAGTATGGTTATTTGTCTTATTCCTGCTATTTGCATAAATTGTTAGTATCTTGAGCGGGGAGGTTCCTCATTCTTCGAGTGCTGCCACCTTGATTTCTTTTTGCTGGGAGGACAGCGGGCCGGCCCTAAACGTGGGTTTGTGGAATTGGAGGAGGCAACTCCGTGAACAAAGCCACAGGGCCAGCTAGGGTGGCCTGCTAGCTGTTGACAGCAGTAACCGTTCCAATTACATCAGTAATATCGTCAGGACCTGCTCACTTACTCACCTTTTTTACGCAGGGCGGTTTACCCACAATGCCCACTTAATTCTCTCAGCCACACTGGGAGATAGTATGTTGATTCATCCCATCTTGTAACTAAGAAAACCGAGGCTTCAGGAAGTGTAACACCTGTCCAGAGAAGTACACAGATGCGCTAAGACTGCCGGAAGGTCATGGCAAGGACCAGTGTGAACGGTCCCTACACACCAGTGCAGCCCGATACTTCAGCCACCTCCGCGGCCTGGCTGCTGGGAACCTCTCAAGCAGGAAAGCCATCCTCACTGCCGTCCTGTGCTGTTCTCGCTGGAGAGCTCTGCCTGCACCCGCTTCACTGCCCCTCCCTGCCCAGGGCCCACGGCAGAGGTGCCCTCCTCTAGACGGACAGCCTCCCCTGGCTCCGCCTCAAGGTCGGACTCAGCAGAAGCCCCTCCTGCCCCACCAGGCCCATTTGGTCCCCCCCCCCCCCCGCTACGTCCACCATCTGGCACACGTAACAAATGTTCAGTAAAATGTCAGCTGAGCCAACGGCAGTGTCCTGGGGTAGAATGTCAGGAAAAAAAATTCATCCCTAAATTCTTCTCCCGAACGCTGAAATGACCTTTGAGAAAGATAAAAGTGCGTTCAGTATCAAATACGTAGTTGTGCTCTTAGATATAAAGCGCAACACAAAGTGGCAAATGTGCATCTGCACAGATCTCAGATCACAAGTCAGAGGAACACGCTTAGTCGGCAGTGCCGTGCTTTAAGACCAGGAACTCATCTCAGGGAAGGCATTCCGTGGCACGCCGTGCTTGGGACCCGCACTCAGCTAAAGCCCACGGTCACTCACCGCTTAGCTGTCTGCTGAGTGGGCGAGCCCTGCAGCTCCCAGGGGACAGGCGGTCATTGTCCTGTCAGACCCTCAGTGGTGTCGTGTTCGCAGACCCCCCAGCACTGTTTGCAAGGACCCCCTGTCCCCCTCAGTCTCAACTCACAGGGAGGAGTGGACCGGGACGCAGCCCCGAGTAAGAGGCTTTCAGGGGCGGAGGGACAGCCGGGATGGTCTGACCAGTGTCTCCACTGCCCATTCTGACCTCAGCGGCCAGTGACTGTTACATCACATCCTGCCCAGGCTGTGTCCGGAGCAGACTTCTGGGAAACCTTGCTTCAGCGAGGGGTTCGTACGGGGTGGGTCGCTTCCCTTGTTGCTACCCCAGCTCTCTCTCTGTCTCTGACTGCTGTGTGTCTGCACGCGGCTGCCTCTGTGTCTGTGCCGCTTACCGTTGGCTGAGTTTCTGGGACATTCAGATTTGCGGCAGTTTTTCCTCAAATTTGAGACATTTTGGTTGTTATTTCTTTAAATATTCTTTCTTTTCCTCCTCTCCCTGTGGGACTCCTGCAATGTGATGTTAGTAACGTGATAACTTACCGTGGGTCTCTGTAGCTTTGTTCACTTGTCTCCATCCTTTTTCCTTCTGTTGCCTAGACTGGGTAACCTCCACGGGCTTGCCTTCAGGGTCATTGGTTCTTGCTTCTGCCTGTCCAGATCTGTTGCTGATTTCCTCAAGTTTCATGTCCAACTTGAGAATTTCTATTTGGTTCTTTTATGTATATATATACACACACACACACACACACACACACACACACACACATACACAAATTTCTATTTTTCTATTGACACCCCCTATTTGGTGAGACATAATTCTCATTCTTTTAATTCTTTCGGTATGGTTTTCTTAGTTCCTCGACCATATTTGTAATTGCTGATTTAAAATCTTGGTCTAGTAAGTCCAACATCTGGAACCCTTCAGGGACAATTTCTAACCAAAAAGAGAATAACCCAGAATAATAGTTTCTATTGACCACCAGTTCCCCATTTAGGGGCCACTAATTCTTTTCTATTTTGTCACATGTCTCATAAGTTTTTATTGAAATTGGACACTAAAATAATATAATTTTAGCCCTGGCGTGTGCAGCTCAGTGGATGGAGCACAGGCCTGTGAAGCAAAGGGTCACCAGTTTGATTTCCAGCCAGGGCACATGCCTGGGTTGCGGGCCAGGTCCCCAGATGGGGGCGTGTGAGAGGCAGACACACATTGATGTTTCTCTCTTTCCCTCTTTCTCCTTCCCTTCCCCCCTCTCTAAAAATAAGTAAATAAATAAAATAAAAAATAATGTAATTTTAAATAACACAGTCCTAAATAGTTCGGTTATAGTACAAATAATGTGGCGTGGCGATCCTGGAGATGGGATCCCCCTTCCTCAGGTTGGTTGGTATTTGTTTTTGTTGTTTTGCTATTTATTTGTTAGGTGACTTTCCTGGATTAATTCTGAGAGGCCTGTATTGTTGGTCGTGTGTAGTCACTGACGTCTGCTTGGTTAGCTCCGTGGGCCACTAAGGACTGAACTGAGATACTTCCTCGATCAGACAAGCCTCCCTCCCTTTGCTGAGGGGCTGGCGCGTGTGGGTGTCGGGTGTGCCTTCCACGCCCAGACAGGCACGTTACAATGCTGCCTTCGCCTCCACTCCCGGCCCGCGCAGGGCCTCGGGGGCAGCCCAAGGTGGACGATCCCACCCTGTGCGGGTCTTCGCTGGGCACCTGCACAGCCATTCCCCGGAATATATATGTCAGCGCTTTCTAAAGTTCTATCTTGTTCTCCGGTTTTTCCTGTCATCGACCAGCCTCTTATTAGCTCCAGCTGGTAACACTGCTTCAGGAAATTGAGATATTACCAATGTATTTTTTTTAAAAAAGTAAATGCCCCGAGGATAGGGCAATTTGCACGAAGGAGGCATTGCGTTAGGTCAAATAAAGACAAGGTCTGTGGCCGGAGCTCTTCAGGGAACTGTCACACAAGCAAATGGTGATGCCACTTTGGCAGAGAGGGTGTTTGGCTCCAAACCCACCCTGTCCCTCTGCTTGTCCGCTCCAGAAGCCACAGTCACCACTTTTAACCATCCTCCTTCTCTAATATGTGTACTCGAGGCTATCCATGTCCGTATACATACACTTACGTGCATCTCACATGGTTTAAAACGTCACATGTTCATTATTACTCAATTAAACGATTCTCTGATATTCATTGTAACTTTTCTTTGACCCACTGGCTATTTGTAAGTATTTCGCTTGATTTCCAAATATGGGGGGATTTCCCGGTTACGTTTTTGTTACTGATTTCTAGCTCAATTCCACCACGGTCTCTGTCGGCACGGAAAGGGCCCCTGTCCCTCTCCGGCCAGCTGCCGCC